TAATAAGACAAAGGAGATAATTTTGGATTTCACCCTGTACCTCAAAAACAAAGAGCCCCATGATAATTTTATTAGCGGCATCTTTAATTTCACAAACCTATCTTTAAAAATAATTGAGATAACAGAATTTTGTTATGATATTTTTTAGTAGGACACCTCAGAATATAGATAGATAGACGGAATTTTAACCAAAGCCCCCCCTCAAAAACAAATAGAGCGCGAACGACATTTCTCATTCATCTCCAAAAATCGAATAAGGGAACGTAAACAATCCGAAAGAAGGCAAATTCACTTACGCGGGCCGACAAAAAAATGTAAAAGCTAAAAACGCTCATGCCCTTGCGTAGAAAAATATATGGAAATAATGGAAACCAAGAGGGAACACGTAAGAATAACATTTGGCGAAAGCGATAGAAACCAAGCAATTCGATTTTTTTTACGGAGAGCAGATGTCTGCGCATATTTAGTATTCGTCTTTACCTGGAGGATCTTATTTGCGTATATCTCAATTTTCATGTGCAAAAAATTTTACTTTTATTCATAAAATTGCTACACATTTTTTGGACCAGAAGCTTGTCTTGAATTTTTTTTTTAATGTTAAATAATTTCTTCATGTTACTCGAAATCTTAGCGAAAGAGCTTTTTTTCCTTTAGACTTTTGGAATACTTTGATCATATACAATTGCTTGACATTTTTTTATTTTTCCTTTAGGTGCTGTCCTTATATGCCACAGGCTACTGCGTGAATGATGATAGTGATCTAAATATTACCTTTCACAATATTGTGATAAAAAACTTTAATATACTACCCAATGGGACTTATCAAATTCCGTAATTACCTTTAAAAATTAATTTTATTACCGCGAATATCCAAAGAATAGTTTATGTGATATGGAATAGTATCAAGGCCCTTAGGTATATATTGTATTTTTAGTATATTTTTGTACTGATTCTATATTTGCTTATTTCGTTATTGAATTAAGAATATTTTATTATTGTTAAACAACCGTTGTAAATATTTTATCCAGTGCCTCATATGCATTTGCCTTGTCCCGTTGACTTATGAAAATTCTTATGTACATATGTGCAGTAGTGATGAAGTATCTTTCAAATTTTTTGAAAAGTCGAGACCATTTTTCTGGCATGCAATTTGGTTGTCGAAAAAAGCGATCAACGCAGGCAAGTTGGAAGAAAGGCGGCAAACAGCATCCATTTTGTTCGATCTGGAAAGAGTCTTAGGCTTGATCGATGTTGAGGTTTTAGTGGACAAGCTGCGGTCATAAGGTGTCAGAGGTAACGCGTTAAATTGGTTATGGTCTTTTATTGGGGGTCGTACGCAGTTGGTCAAATTGCGAGTTACCTTAGAATTTGAAGACGTCTCTGACTCTAAGTCAGTGAATTGCGGTGTACCTCAGGGAAGTTGACTTGGTCCTTTATTGTTTATAGTGTTCATAAATGTGTTTTCATCTTTTCCCCATAGTTACTTTTCACTTATTATGCAGTTTATACCCCTTCTGCGGCATCGTCTGCGCAACTATGCATTGCAACCAATACAACTGTTGAGCAAATGAAACATTATGCAGAAATTAACAAATTGATACTAAATGGAAGTAAAACTAAGAAACGTGTATAATTCCTCGGAGTTTGTGTTGACTCGAGACTCTCCTGGATCACATTCTCCAAAAACTTTCTGTTTATTGTTTTGTCATGAGGAGGCTCCGCCATCAGGTTTTTTTCCGCTTGCTAAAAATGTTATTTTTTCTATGTCTATTCATGTCTTAACTACGCCTTCAATTGTGGAATGGGGACGTTCCCCATGTGTACGGATCAAATCTTTAGGATGCAGAAACCCATTTTACGGACCATACTGTTTAAGCTGTTCAATTGCCACAACACTCTTTATTGACAGTTCCTAGTATGTATAGGGTGGGTCGTTTATCTTGGGACTCTAGCTTATCTCAGAAACTATACGAGATGGGGCCAAAAGTTAAATACAGAAGTTAATTGAGGTATTACAAACCTTCAATTTATTTTAATTTGGTATATACAGGATGTTTAATTTTTGAGATTTTTAATTTTTTATGCGAAAAATGACGTTTGCAAGACGTAAAATATCTGCCAATTTCTTTATTCGGAAGCATTTATTGTTTCCCTTGAGTAAGTTTTGTTGTACACAAAGGACTCGAATAACGGATTTCATAAGAAATTTCGATATATATTAACACGCGAAAAATAAGACTAAAAATGATATTAAAAAAACTGCCAAAAAACTTTTTTTAACTGGAAACTACCTATTTTTATAATTTTCTCATATTAAGCATTAAAAATTAAAGCAATTTTGCCCATGCCCAATATTTTTATTTTTTGAAATATTTCCTTTTCAACATTTGTTTATCACAAATGATATGCTGTTGCCATAGAAATTGTGTAAGATGGCTGTGACGGCGCCAATATGATTTACCATTTCATAGTTGCATTGTAGTATGCATTATTTATACAAAATAAGACCAGGGATACGCGATAATGTTGGTGAATATTTTATTAACGAATAATCAATAAACAATTAATAGCTTAAAAAAGATAATAATTATTGTAACACTTGTTCAATATGTTCTCCATTTTGAGCAATACAAGTAGTATAAATACATAATAACTTAAAATGTAATAATAAAATGATGATACATTCTCTTATCTGCCGTTTAAGTTCATGGCCAGTTGAAGGTTTGTGTTTTTTTAAACGAAACCTTTAAGTGTTCCCCATAGAAAAAATCTAGCGGTGTTAAGTCGGGGCTCCTTGGAGCGCCATTTGGAGGTTCAGAATAATAGGTCCAGTATTTTTTTTATCAGCATTTAAAATGCCAACGCTACTTACAGCTTTTAAATATTATTCATCCCTTTGTTGAAAATGAAGTGCCTGAAAGGGAACGCCGAAATTTAATTTGGCAGCAGGATGGCACTCTAAATGCACACTATAGACATTGGATCTCCAAGCAGCCCCGACTTAACACCGGCAGATTTCTTCTATGGGGAACAGGTTTAGTTTATAAACACAAACCTTCAACGTCGGATAAGAAAAGGTGTCGGATATTTAAATGGCACCGAATCTGTTAGAAATGCCATTATGTTATTTATACTACTTGTATTGCTCAAACTGGAGGATGTATTGAACAACTGTTTATTATTTTTATTATTACATTATCGCGTATCATTCGTCTTAATTTGTATTGACATACATTTACATAATATTAGGGTCTTCCTAAATGCATCGGCAAGATTATGGTCAACTACGAAATAAATCATAATAGCAGCACTTGTTTTGTATAAACGCCGTCATTGCCACCTTATACTAGCTGAAGTAAATATTTCAAAAACTAAAAATATTAAACATATACAACCTCATATGAAATTGCTTTAATTTTTAGTGATAATGCTTAATATGACAAAATTATAAAAATAGGTAATTTCCAGTTAAAAAAAAGTTTTTTGGCAGTTTTTTTTAAACTCATTTTTAATCTTATTTTTCACGTGTTAATATGTATCAAAATTTCTATGAAATCTGTTGTCCAAGTCCTTTGCCTATAACAAAACTTACTCAAAAGAAACAATAAATGCTTCTGAATGGCGAAATTTTCAGATATTTTACATTTTGCAAACGTCGTGTTTCGCATAAAAAATTTAAAATCTCAAAAACGGTTAGACTCAGGTATAGGATATTATACACAAAATATGTCTAGAATTTTGTATAGAATTAAAAAATGAAGTAATATACCAGACGTTCCATTTAAAATAAGGGAGTTGATACTCGCCCACGAAAAATTAAATACCCTGAATATACCAAATAAAAATAAATTGAAGGTTTGTAATAACTCAATTAACTTTTGCATTTAACTTTTAGCTCCATCCCGTATAGTTTCCAAGATAAACGGCCCACCCTATACATACTAAATTGTACCGCTTATGTAAAAAGCAAATCTAATCTTTATATGCTCTCAAGAAACTCAGATATTCAATACACAAATATACAAAATACCATATACATCAAATAGTCCTTTTGTTTTGAGCGTAAAAATTTATAATAACTGAAGGAGATAGCTAGTCAAGCAAAATCCAAATGCACTCTTAAAAACAAATTGCTGAGTCTCGCCTGTTACAATATTAAGGAATTTCGTTCTAGTGATACCTTTTAACACCCCCTATAATGCCTATATATTTGTTATTTATCTAACAATATTAATTATTATTATTATTAATTAATTACACTAACATAATTTTATATTAATTACATTTGTATTATACTGACAATATCCAACACTTGTAACTCAAGTCTTATGGAAAGAAAGCTATCTTTATCTTTATCCGGCCAGTGGTACCGATCTTGGTTTTTCGTAATTTATTACACTATTAAATACGCTGGTTTTTATATAAGCGTCTACCAAAACCGCATCAGTTGAATATTCATAAAACAGCATAATAAATTTAATATGAGGACCCTATTCTAATTTAAAAAAAAATCAGTTCGTGTATACGAATGTTGAGATACTTCAAAAATAACAATCATTCGCCTTTCCTGGGAATATCGTTCGTATGATTCAAAGCATTGACCCTTGCGTATTTCGTAAACGTAAACATTAGGAATTGGGTTAGTAAGAGATCACCGAAGTAGCCTTTAATCTCCATCGAATTACTTCGGCGGACACGTCAAAGCATGGTCTGTTGAAAAGGCCAAGTTTGTTTGGGCGCAAAAATCTTCTGCGTCAACTAATAATCAAGGAACGAACTAAAGCAGTCACGGCTGAGATGGAAATAAAACTTAAGGAAATTGAAGTCATACCGTTAGGGAAAATGAGGAATCTTACACGTTTTAATTAAGTTGCGACTTTTGATCAGTGGCGGTGCATAAAATACGACATCTACGAAATAAGTTTTATTTAAAAATAATAATAGTTTCATATAAATATTGAGAAACATATGTCAATAATGAAAAACGATATGGGTGAATAAAATGGTATTAGCAAGGAAAAGGCTAGTAGTAGAAACTGGCATAACACTGAAAAAAACCTCGATCGGATTTACTTCAAAACAAGCAGAATTTCGGTGTCTACATAAAAATACAGGATCAAATGCAAGCTGTTTGCGAAAAACAAAATCTAAAATTTACGTGTCGCCGCCGCTGTCGTCTCCGTCTCGCTCGTCGTTACGGAGCTGTTTTAAACCTTTACTAAAGCCAAATTTTGCTTGTCAAAAGAGACTATTTAGTATTAAAACGAGATAGAACACTCATTAAACCAGATATTCTCTCTTAGTGAGTGGTTTTTGAAGCAAGCAGAAGCAGAAATCCTCGTCGTCTTTTGTGTTTTGCCCGTGACGGGAGTTTTATTCCTCTGTGGGGTTTTTAATGTGTACGGTAAAAAAGTCCTTCTTGTAATGAAAGTAGGAATAGAATGCGGGCATTGTAGCTGTTTTAATTTGGGACATTGTAAAGTGGTTAGAAAGTATGCCACACCTTCATTTAATTTGTGATCGGCGTCTTTTCGGTCAGAAAAAGCAGCTAGCGATTAACAAATGACAATCATGGTTATCTGAATTGTTTTTCAAATTGGTTTATTTAGTTGAAGTTTTTAATAAATTGCACCACATTAGAATTGTTAATTAACCACGAAATAATTACCATATTGAAGAATATATTTTTTTAATACGCTTCATTTAGTAGCATTCTAGTTTCACTAGCACTTTTTTCGCTCTTAGGGCCGTAGGTCGGACAAATGGGTTGGAATTCCACAGCTCTTCCAAAAGCTGACAGACCACCTTCAAAACACTATCCTCTTGCCATTGCGTTTTTAATGCAGGCCTTGTCCTGTTCTCAACCACAACTCTTCTTACAGTTTCAAGAGTATGCTCAGATTCTTCGGGGCCCAGTTCCAATGCAAATGGCTTCTGATAATCGTCTACGTCTACTTTGTTCTTGCATCTGTTGAGCATTTCCCAAACGATCAACCCGACGCTGTAGATGTCGGACATTTTGTAGGCTTCGAAATTGTCTACGTCGAAATTCTGTTCCAAAATTTCCGGCGCCAAGTACCTGAGGTGCGAGTTTTTCGAAAATCTTGGCACGTCCAGTTCGTTCTTGCAACTGGAAAATTTTACGGCTTTGCTGAAATCCGCCAGACAACACTCCTTGTTCCGTTTCACGAGGATGTTTTTGCTGCTCAAATTGTTGTGCGCTATAGCTTGTTTTCCGTTAAGGCACAGTATTTCTTCGTGGAGGTATTTTAGGCCGCCGAAGATTCCTTTGGCCATTTTGAGGAACGTCGTCTTGTTTACGATGTTGTAACGTAGGAAATCGTACAACGAACCGTGTTCGCAAAAGTCGGTGATGAGGAACAACTTTGCAACGTCGCCGGTTACTGAAAAGACATCAACAGCTAGATTATAAATGTGGCAAGTTTATCGAATGAACAAGCTTGAACATAAATAGAGTCGATACGATTTGCGACGTCGGTTATAAAATCGAGAGAGAACGTTACTCGGTATTTTACCTGCTTCAACTAGTATACTAAGAATGGAAAAACCCACCCATTTACCTCCCGTGTCTATTCCGCCACGGTGTCGAACAGTGGACAAAGATAGCACCAACTGGGTTGCATTTTTGAAAGACTGCTGCCGAAACTGCCATAGAATTAATTGGTGTGGGCTCAGTGCAAAATATTTTGTAATAAAAATATTGTAAGTGAGGCAAGGCACGATGACACTGGAGTAGTATTTGTTTTTGGAAGGCCGCTCTCCAAAGTTACCTATTTGGTAACTTTAGACCAATTGTAAAATATGATAAAAGAATACTCGGAAAAGGAGAATACACTTGATATAACAGCATCACCACTTGGTATTAATGTAGACAAAGGATCATTTTCTGGTAGTAGCAGTTGGCACTGATGATGATCCATCGTAAATACAAACTAAATATACTAAACATTAATTAAATATTCGCATATCATTAAGGAACACCCTGATCAATTATTACATACAAAATACATGAATCCATCTGTGAGTATGGCGGTAGAGTTTACCAAACGATATACCGTTTTTACGATTTTTTATGGTTTTGACTTCGGAATGAGACCCGCCTGTTGTAAAGCGGAAGGCAACATTCTTTCAGCACGTGTATCACAAGTCAGGACCGTAGATATAGATTTAAGATGTATGAACTGTGCCATGCGGACTGTTGTATTTTAAGAGTAGGGAAGTTTTCTTTTATTAAACTGTTATATTAATTCATACTAGTGTACTTGTTATAAATCTTCCTACTTGACGTAGCTAGATTTCAAGTTGAACTTGACCATTAGATAGGTGGATCTCCTCTATAAGCTTAAATAGATTTCCAATTTAAGGATTTAACATAAATATTTTCTTAGGATAGCAATACAGTATCTTATGTAGAAAATTGATTTATAATGGGTGTTTTCCAAGTTTGCTATTGGTTGATTTGTGGGGGCTCGTGAAATCGGATTATACTGTCAGTTTTATGAAACGGTAATTTCTTGACCGTCGAAGCTTTGGAGTTATTTCTATTCCGCCTTGTGTTTTTAATTAGTAATAACCAACTTACTGTCATTCAATTGTTTTTCAAGACTCGGTTTGTCATTTTTATTGAGGTACATATACATTTTATTACATTTTATTTTTTACTAACATTATTCAATTTTGTTAGTACATTTGCGATGTCCAGCGACAGAGAAGTTGAGATTGTGGTCGATGGCGTAATAATCGTTGATGATGAACACCCTTCAAATTGAAATGCATAGGACACATTTGCCGGCTGCCAGAGTACGTGAAAAGATCGTGGGGTCCCAAAAACTCTACTTGACATGCCCCACAGCGGAATAGCGAGACGGTTTATTTATGATGTGTATCAGAAGAATATTGTTGTAACAATTATAACTTTACATCAAGAGTTGCGTGGTGCTTTTACCATTAACCGTAGCCAAGAGACTTTGAGTGCGCTCCTACAAGAATTGGTTTCTATTAGAAAACCATCAATAAGAGACAAGTTTTTGTATTCACGAAGCACCGAAGTACGGTTCGGGAAAGTCATTGTATAATTGTGAATCTATTTATTAAGGGTTACAAGCAACCCTGCTGTTAGACCTTCATAAAAATTTTCCAAAGTTAAATACCAGATTATGTCGTAGAAACGGTATATCGTTCGGAGAACTCTACTAGTTAAGTTAATAAATTCCAAGTAGAACTGATTCTATTTCTCTCTCTCTCCCAAGTAATAAAATCGTAATCATTAGTCTTGCATTGATCAGATAAACATTTAGGGCGGAACAACATCCTTTAAAGTATAAGTGAAGTATGAAGAACCATCTATTTTATTCTGTCTGGCAATCTATTGCCGACTATGCGATTACAAATCGTACCGACTATAAATGTGTTAATTTTATCGAATAAACTAGCTTGAATATAAATAAATGTGGCAAGTTTAGTGAATAAACGTTCCTGAATATATTTGGCAACTTTAACGAATAAGTGACAATCACACCTTGGCACATACGTTTAACTAGAGTTATGGTCTGTTCATAGATATAAGAAAGTGACCAATTGCGTTTGAATGCGATTATCCAAGGGTGGTCATTAACATACAATGCAACAAGATTATTACCTAAAGTTTCTTTGGTTTGATACACTACTTAGTTTAAGTTTATTAGTAATCATTCTTATTTCGTGTGTAATACCGCGTGTGTTGAATCGTGTGCGAATTATGCAAAATATGTGCGAGTCTAGTGTCAGGAGATGCTCCCGCCCAAATGTAGAAAACACTCTTCTATTGAGACTAAGGGAGTTATAAACAATATTTATTTGACTCTTATTGAACATGGTGCCAGCAAGGCATCTTTAAAAGAAACGGCAACATTGACGAAAATTACAACATCAACTGTATGGAAAATTGTGAATAATTCCATTTCAGCGAGGAAAAAAAGAAGCAATGCCGACATTTTCTCGAGTGTAGATGAATGTGATCAAGATATAATACGGCGTAAAATTTACCAGTTATACGAGGAACAAAGCGTGCCTACATTAGATATCTTAATTAGGAGGCTTGAAAAAGATGATGGTTTTAGATTTAAAAAAAAACTGACAAAAGGCAAGTTTTAATGGAATCTTTTAGAATTCAGAAATAGCGGCTGGAATATCTAGAAAAAATTAGGATTTACAGAGAACAACAAAGGCCAATTATTTACTTGGATGAAACCTGGTTCGACACTTATGATACTCCGGACAAGGGTTGGGTTGACTCAACTGATAAGTGTAAAACAAACGCGCCATCAAAAAGAGGTAAAAGAATAACTATTTTGCATGCTGGCTCTAAAGATGGTTGGATTCCAAATGGACTTTCTCTGTCTGCGAAAAATATTAAAGATTCTTCTCCGGATTACCATGAAGACACCACCGCTGATTTATTTGAAAGTTGGTTTAAAAACAAACTAGCTCCAAGCATTCCTATAATATAGAACAAATAATAATAAAAACAGGCGATGATAGCGATAGTGATACTGATATATTATGTAAATAATTTTAAGTAGGTAATAAAAATAATTTGTAATTTTATTTTAGATTTAAACATAAATACATACATAAATAAGTAAATATTGTTCAGTATCTTTCCTAACAAAATCCCAAATAATTAAGTTCTAAGCAAAGTACGGACCTGTCATATTTCATTCTTAGAGCTTGCCCGGGTCTTTCCTTAATTCGTATCAGTTAGTCACTTTCTTATATCTATGAACAAACTTCACCTTTTAAGTTATAAAAAGCGAGATAAGTAATTAAATATGGTTAAAATAGGATTTTATTAAATTACAAGTAGCGCAATTTTTTATCCTAGGCTTAATGAACAAAACAATGAAGTAAACAAAAAAATGCGGTGAATCACTGCTATTCTATTTACTTTACAAAATTCAAGTTTTAAGAGTAACTAGTTAGGTAAAAAAATAAGAAAACATAGAAAATAGCCTTTGCTTTCTCTATAATCCCTTTGCTTGGAAGGTATTGATAATGAATGTGGGATTACGTCCCATGGGGGGGCATTTAAAAGAGGCGCAATAATAAAACAATTTTTCCATGGAAATATCCCCTACGATTTTAGTGTTTGGTTAATTAAACGGCTGTGTTTAGTAGATGCCAATTTATTGATGAATATACAACTAACTAAAACGATGTTCTGATTTACCTTTGATATCGGAGTTTATAAATCCCAAGATATTTTCGTGTCTAAGGTCTGGATATATCTCGTTCTCGCGCAACCAATACTGCTTCTCAGTAGAAAAATATATCTTGACCGCTACGGTCTGGGTCATCCATTTGGCTTTCCATACTTCACCGAATCTTCCGGATGCGATCATCATTTCCATTTGTAATTGCCTAGCTATGGTCCTGTGACAGTGCACGTTCGAGCCGAAATCAGAGCTCGATCTGCTGTCCGATCCCAGAGTAACGTGGGACTCACTCCTTGCAGTGAGTTTCACCACGTTGTTAATATTCGAAATATTGATTATCGTGACATTGTCTCTTGATTCCTTATCGTTAGGGTGGCAGTCTTCCTCTCCTCGTTTCGTTTTGTATTTGATGACAGCAGCGACGATGAACGCACAGATGATGATAAGACTCACTACGATCGAAGAGACTAACGTTTTCAGGAAAATCGAATTCGCAGAGTTTATGAGTGGGGGTTCTGTTGGATTCAAACTGGGCCGCACGTATTTGTTGCAGTATTCGAATTCGTCACAGCATTTGATGGTCTTTCCCTCTTTAGGATTCATAAACTTTGCCCGACACTGCGTGATAGAAAGGTGGCGTAAATTAATACAGGATTTTCTCACTTCCCCAGGCTGTGAAACTTATAGGTACACTTCTTCATTTCTCCTGCGTGGGGTATCGACTGTGCCTTGCTGACAAGCAAGACAGAGTCAATGGCCGACGCTGGAGAAATACAGAAGTGAGCTATGAGCTTATGCAAGGTCACAAACCTTGTATTAATGGTTTACTGGGTTGTTAATTACCCACAAATTTGGATCGCTGTGTTTAAAATAGCGTATCATCCTTTTATATACATTTGAAAAAAGTTGAAAAAAAATTCTGAAATGGTTTATATTTCTCATTCTGCTTTTAAGTTTATTGTGCTGCATTGTTATAACATGCCGTTTTAAAATGGGAGATTGTGAGTGCTGATGGCCTGAGACTATGTCTTACATTGCTTATACTCGCGAAAGACATGATGACGTCAAAATGAACATTCGTGCTCGTTTATCGGAGAATATTATGCTTCTAACAAAAATAAAATACTCAGCAATACTCCCTGAGATAAGCACAATCACACATTTTAGAAATTACATTAAGACCAAACAAATTGAAAACTTAAAACACGCAGGGTGCCTTATTGAAAAAATGTAAATTTAATAAAAAAGTAAAAACTAATCTTGTATCTCCCCTTAGAAATCTGATTTATTCAGTTCTGGTTGCTGTATTAGAATTTGATTATTATACCATCACAAAAAAATAAACACCCACAGAAAAATTAAAATTTTTATAAATAATAACATAGCCAAATAATAAATTGTGAAAATCATAAAGTGTAATTATTTTCTGAAAGATTTTCATAAACCCTAAATAATTTAACAACTAGCTACATTCATTGTTAGGTCTGTAGTTTTTACAAAGCATAGCGTTGAGAAGGTCCATTCAACATGCGCATGCGCGAGATTTAATATTTCGATTTTAGTCAATGACCTAGCGCCATTCAACAATCAATATGGCCGCTGGCAGATCGTCAATGAGTGTCGATGCTGCACTTGTGCTTCAGTATTTTGACAAAATGTGGCCAGGTTTCGTTAAATGTTATGGAAAACGAATTAAACGTGTGGAAATTTCTGTTTAGAATAAAAAATGGCGCAAAGTCCAAGTTAGTGGGTGAAATGTAGACGCATGAGCTGAAAATCGATTTTTACCGTAGTAGAGCCACTATATAACTATATGGGCCAAAGTAAAAACTATCGATTATCTTGCGACAGCTGTTTTTTGTGTTCTGCAAATTTTGTTTAGTAATCAATAATTGACGTTTTTTAAGATTTAGTTTATAGAAGAATTTTGTCATTTAAATAATTTATTTACTCTCCTTGCATTGATTATTGATTTACAAGTAATGCAAAGCTTTATATCAAGATTATTAATGATGTATAAAACATGGGATATACCGTATTAATTTTTTTATAATTGACAAACATTTAGGAGTACTGGAATATTTATATAAAGTCTAATTGGAGGGGCCAAGCTTGTATTCTTTAGCACATTAGCGTTTTAAGGTTTATATTGATAAACTTGTATCGCGGGAAAACTCACTTGGAATAATGCCATTCCCTTTGGCGGTAAACAACCGTAAAAGTACAGTGGCGGCAGATCGTTTCCGTCATCGTCAACGTGGATTTCGATGGAGGTGAAACATCGTCCCCCTGGCCGAGTCACGCACGTGCCGGAATCTTCTCCCGAAGGACAGTAGCCTTCGCAATAGCATTTGATCGATTTGAATTCTAAAGAAAAATATTTACCGTGAAATATTTTACAACGCAAATTTTCGTTCGGTCGGCAAACTTCGTTTCGAATTCTGGGGGTTCGGGTTAGTAACAAAAAATGAAGGTAACGGATTCACAATAAAATTAAAAAAATATATCCATGTCTGCAAAATCCTAAAATTTAAAACGTTATTTTTTATTATTTCTATCTTGTTTTTTTTTATGATTAAATGTGTCCTACAATTTAATGCCATAGCTCACACCATTTATGCTTGAATTTAATCTAAAATGACTTAGTTTGCTAGAATTTTTCAACATCTTCATTTCGAAAAAATAATTTAGTTATTATTGGCAAAACTTTTTTGTCGGTAGACATCTGATTACAAAGAATAAATAACAGTAACTTGTTTGCTAAATAATTTACATGTCCCACTCAATTTAACAAATATTCTGCACCACCTTCAAATTTTGGCCAAATTTGATGATTTTCTATATTTATGAATTGCGATTTTCTTGAATTATTACTTTACTGTATTATACAGGAGTAAATCAAACCGGCTTTTTTACGAATTTTAAAACAAAGGAAAACTGAGATGGATAATTTTATTCACCTATCCTTCGTTGCAATCTTTGACTTAATCTAAAGTATGTTTTTTCTTTGTTTGTAAATTATTGTATATATTATATATATTATATTATATATATTATATAATTGGTGCACTTATTGAATTCCGATAAATAATATCCTGAACGTTGCTCTTACCTTCAGTTTGATTTACGATAACTCCACTAAACATTCCGATCCGCTTAAATAACCAATTCACTACTACAAGAAGACACAGATTTAATGCTTCTCTTTATAGGGAAACTTCAGTATATGGTTCGCTACCCTGTCGATTTAATGGGCTTGTAATGATAACAATTTCGGATAATTATCCTTCAATTTCTTCAGTTTTATTGAACAATTACGTTCGCCGGGGGTACCTGTTTATAAAACTATTTTCAGTAATTTGATATTCATCTCTATTTTTCCACCACTGTTTAAAATGAAAATTACTTTATAAATTTGCAATGAGTATATATTTCTATCAATTTGTTACAAAGTGTATTTTTTATAATCTTGTAAACAATTGGTAAACGTGTTTTCAACGCTGGACGGACCATCTAAAAACAATAAAAATAAATGTAATTACATGGTATTTAATGACTAAAATAAATATATTTTTTAAATAATTCATAGTATAGTTTTACTGCGTTTTACTTTAAATTGGTGAAGAATTGCACATTTAATAAATGCCCCCGTTAGTTCAATTTTTTGCATTTTGCTTAACTTTTTTTGGTTTATATACGGACTTAAAATCAGGTCAATTTCTTTCAACACAAATAATTCTAGCCACACAAATAATTCAATTATTAAAGAAATGGTTTTGCCGGCACTCACCAAATGGATACCACGTCGGAGTATCTGGATCAAAGTATTTTCGTGCGGAGGCCACTGCTTGCCTAATCGCGAGAGGAACCGTCACCGCTAAACAAATTGGCGGTTCTCCGGTGGCTGCAAGAGAAGAAAGAAAATCTACAACCTAACCGCAAGGACACATAGAAGGAATCGAGCACTAAATATTTGTATTATTATACAAGGCCAGCGCCAAAATTTCCCGGCCTGAATATGAAAGAAACAAAGTAGAGTAACAATTTTGTATTATTTTTCAATATAATCCCCCTTAACTTCAAATTCTTTTTTAACAACTCAATCCCTTTAAAAAAATATTCTTTTGGTTTGGCTGCAAAATGAACTAACATCCTCTGTTAACTCAACTTCGTCGTTAAACCGCCTTCCACGTAAGTCTTTTTTCAAATATCCAAACAAATAATAGTCGCTGGGGGTCATATCTGGACTATAGGGAGGATGATCTATCTGTTGGAACCCATACTCTAAAATGGCAGCTTGTGCAACACCAGCAGTATGGACAGGTGCATTATCTTGCAAAAAACGCCCGCCTCTGGTCAGTTTTCCTCGACGTTTTAGACGTATGCAGTCTCGTAATTTATGTAATAATGTTGAGTAATATTTACCTTTGACAGTGGTATTAGTTTCTTTAAAATCTATCAAAAGAATTCCTTCACAATCCCAAAAAGATCGTGGCCATCACCTTTTTTGTTGACCGGCAGACTGTGAATTTTCTTGGAGGTGCTTCACTCTTACGACGCCACTCCATTGATTCTTTTTTCGATAGAGGGTCATAATAGAGAACCATAGTTTCATCTCCCGTCACAATAGTGTCTATCACAGGCTTCGGTTCCGACCCACAGAGTTCCACAAAAGACCGCGCACACTCGACACGGCGGTGTTTTTGAATAGCCGAAAGGTTTTTAGGAACCCGTTTTGCACTAACCTTATGCACACCTAAATAATCATGCAGGATTCGACGAACACTTGTATCAGAAATCTGAGTAATTTCTGAGATTTCCTTGACCTTTAAACGTCGATCACTCAATACCACCTTTTCCACAATCGCAACAATATCTTCCGTTATGACCTTCACTGGTCGACTAGTTCTTGAATCATCTTCAAGGGACTCCTGCCCCATTCGAAAACGTTTTGCCCATTTTTTCACTACAGAATACGAAGGAGAACTTTGGCCGTACATACCATCCAGCCTTTCTTTAATGATTTTAGGTGCTAACACTTCTTGTTTAAAATGCAGTCAAAAAGTCAAAACAATTTGACGCAAGACTTCAATTTTTTTTCGCAGCCTACTAAGATATATATTAATCTATGTCAGGCCGGGAAATTTTGGCGCTAACCTCGTATAACAGTTTTTTATTCCGAAATACATATAACGCTGGAGTTGTTCTTGGCTTGAAATTGTTTAATAATGAGAACAATTGTCTTCTACTCACTACTGTCAAATACCTAAGTATACACCGATCTAGCGTGCAGAAAGCGTCACTTTACCACGTGAGTTTCTTGTCCCACGAATTCGAGTCCCTTTTGCCGACAATCGAATGTTTTCGGAGATTTTAAAGCGCGGTTTGAATTTTCACGTTTGTCAATTCTGACAGTCATGTCAGTGTTGTTTTGCGAAAATGTACTCAAAAACTAACGGCCGTAGAAAATAGTATATTATGCAAGAAATACAGTAAGCGCAGCGGGTAATTGGGTATTTTACATACGGGAGCAGAAAAAGTATAGTGTGCAACACGTTTGGTAAACTTTTTAAGTCACTCATATATTAAGCACTCGTGACTCAATTGTATTTTTTTTTCATATTTTATTTTTGTAATAAAACATGTAGGTTCGCTGTGTTTTTCATTTAGTTTATTTTTAGGAAAGTGATTTTTCAATTAAAATTTGTTTGACTTTTGACACAATTTTTGGTCATGTTAGTTTTATGGCACGATCTGCTAAAGAATGCGTAATATCGGCATGTTTTGGTTTATTTTTGGGATAATAAGAATTATAATTTAGATGTTTTCTTGATCATGTATCTCTTGTATTATTAAGATTTCTTATTAAAATTAAGTCAAAGAAATTTTTTTTTTGTGCTTTTCAATTTCAATTGTAAATATCAATTTGGAATGAAAATTATTAAAAGCATTAAGAATACTTTTAACATGATTTTTTTGAATAGCTGTTAAGCAATTATCTACAAACAGTGTAAAAAAATTATATTAAAATTTGTAAAACGTTTCCTTCCAAATATTCAATCACAAGTTGATGAAATTGTCCCATAGCCTTTTAATTGTTGGTAAAAGTTTTCTTAGAATTGAAAATAATTATTATTTAACCTCAAATCAAGAACAACTCCAGTCTCATTATATAAAGTTATATGTTACCTTTAGATTTTAATACTCCCATTTTATTAGGACTGTTCTTCGGAAATTTGATTCTAAAATCGATCGGTATATCCTTAACGCCTGGAGGCTTATAATTCCAAGTGTTATTCGTCAAAATTCTCCCGTCTTCGTCCATTATGATTTTTTCAGTCGTAAAGTACCCCAATCCCATTACGAACGCGCCTTCGACTTGTCCAATATCTATCCCAGGATTCATGCTGTCACCGGCATCTTCCAGAATATCCACCCGAGTTACGTTGTATTGACCAGTCAACACATCTAGTTCGATTTCTGAAGCACCGATTGCATAAACATCGTATTTGGAGAGTTCAGTTTCCTTGTGCGCTTGACACCTTAAAGACCACCAGAGAAGGTGATTTAAGGAGTAAGATGAAGCTGAATAGTAAATAAGACAAACCAAGTAACCCCTCTCTTCTTTTCCAGTTTGCGTAATCCAAAATTAAAAAAAAACATTTGGACAACCCTAAAAATTTTCTTAGAGAATTGTTTGTCGATGTTGTGAGATCTGGTGAAATTTAATTAAATTCTTTTTTTTCTGTTTGGAGTTTAATTGAGGCAGTTTGCTTTATTTAAGTGAATAAAAATAGTATTGACTGTTTGTTCTATCCCTTCAATAAAGTAAATTGGATCCTTACATGGAGGAAGCAGACAAATGGACCATTTCCTCGTAGCATTTCTCAACGATTTCTTCCCACGAAGCTGCTGCCATCTTTTTCTTAATCGGTTCCATACGTTCTAATAGAATATCGCATGCTTTCATTATCGCCTGGAACAAGTTGCCTTTTATGTGCTGTTTGTATAGTATGTAACAAGTTTCATAAACGATACTGTAGTAATAAACCAGATTCTAAAGAAGTTTAAATACATGCTGCACAAGTGCCCTAACAACTTTATGGTGAAATAAGTAGTTAAATAAAATGCCACTTTACCAAAATTTTTAAAATTGAAATATGAAAATAACAATATTTTACATGATGTAGGGAAGTATTTTTAAGGTTTAATTATATATTTTTTGTTAATTATTATTTAAAAACAACTAAATATTACAACATGTTTTTGCTTTTCGTCACGTTTCTCAAAATTCAATAGTGGTAAGTGGAAAGCCTACTGATGCTAAACTGTGAGATATTATTGTTCACCAGTACTATAACGGGAAACCAATGTGAAATTTCCATTGAGTTGACTACTACTGTGATTAATATAAATAGGAAACCAAAAGATGTTTCTCAACGGAGTTCAAGGCATTCAACTATAATACATAAGTCGGGAAGAAGAAATAAGAATAACCCTAAGATGGAATAGAAAAACTCACTTAAATATAAAAATAGCGGTCCAGGTTTTTATGAGGTCTGTTTGATAGGTTCTTTCTTCGGGTATAATTTGTCATAAGGATTGTCTTAAAAACACTGTAAAGTTTTCACAAGGCATCATGGTATGGGGCATAGTAAACGCAGAAAATATCTTGAACATCTTTGCACATTCGCTTTTTACAATTGCAGGACAGTTAAACCCATCCAGAAATTTTGTCTTTTACTAGGACGGACCGTTATGGCGTACGACTCCATCTAGCAAAAATGAGACACCAAAATTTGGCTGTCAGAATTTTTCGACGATCAAGCAATTAATAACATATTAATGGTTCAAATGAGTTTATTTGTCTTAAGGCTCTTTCATGTTCTTTGAGTCTAGTTGATATTTTACGTCCAGTTTCTCCAATGTATTCTTTGCCGCATATGCATGGAATTCTGGAAACTCCTAGCATCTCAAATGGAATTTTGTCTTTGACGGATCGAATATGAAAGATTTCTGGTCAACAAAAATCGACGCAGGAGGAATCCAGAAGTTTTATAAAAAGAGGTATTAATTATTAAATTAATTTTTGCACAAGTGGTAACTCTGGTTTTGACGTTATATTTCTTTAGAACTTTTCATATGTGGTCCGTGATGTTATGAATGTAAAGAAGGACAACAGTGGCAAATGTGGGATTGCTTTCAGCTTTATTGCTACTGCAAGATTGTGGTGAAGTGTATTTTGTGATGGAATACTTAATATCTTTAATGTGGAAATTATTAGAAAGAAGAGCAGAAGTAAGGTGTTTGAATTCTGGGTTCAGTGACTCGGCTGAGTTAAGAACATCTTAGAATAGCAGGTTGTTATTAGTTTCTAATTCAATGGTAAAACGAATGTTCGGGTGTATAAATGTGTACATATTCTGTTTCTAATTAAATATGGAACTTGCTCTAGCAATATTGGCAAATCCTCTTCTAAAAACCGATAATTATGTCCTAAATGCCTTTCTGGCAGGAAAAATGGTGTTGTTAATTAATTTTCAACAATTCCAGCACAAACATTTACCAAAAACTGTTCTCGACGTTTAAATTCTACCACTGCATGACCATGCAGAGAAGAGGATTTTATTTTTTTTAAACGAAAACCGTACATCAAATTGAAAAAATTTAAATTAAATTTCTTTAGGAATAATTGGAGATTGTAAGAATAATTTTTATTTTAAGGGAAATGGCCCACCATCAATATCTGGCAAAATTGACAAAAGAAATTTAGTACGCTCGCCACTGGCGTGTTTAAAAAAAAATTGATACACTACACATGTGTGCCAAAATTTAAAAATATCTAAAGTGGCATTACGGATATTAAAAAATATATTTTATTCTTGAAAACTTTACCACTCTGTATCTCAAAAGTTAAGACGTTCAGGACATAAGTTCGTATGAAGTTTTATTTTTAAAATGGACCCAATAATCGCTCCCTGACATTCAATTAGAAAACACCCTGTATAGTTGTTAGTGTTGGCACTATGCAGTGCATTGAGTAGATTAAGACATATGTGCGAATAACGTTTTTCTACTCCCTAATCTAAAATCCTAGGCGTTACGACGCTATTTTGTAAAAATGCACCCAAGTCTACTGGTCGTAGAAAACGTATAGTATGCAACAAGTTGTTAAATTTGCTTGGCACTCGCTCGGCTACGCTACGCTCGTTCCAAATCAAACTCGTCACTAAATCGTCGATTATCAAACTTGTTGCCTATTAAACTATTCCATCTTAAAATCGACCCAGATATCATTCATTGCCTTCAATATTGACATTCAATTTGAAAACACCGCGTATGGACAAATCGAAATTATTTTGTCAGCTGAGTAATTGGGATCGAGTAATCAAAAAGGACGCGTGTTGCAGATAAAATGGATCATTCGGAAGGCAAATGTTTGTCGCACTGATTCCTTGCGCAAATAACGTAAATTGTAAATAACGGTTTCGACAAAAAAAAAATACGCGCGCTTTTGTGTTTACGTGTCAGCAGTTCAAATCGGAATCTATTTAAAAACGGACGGCCGTTAAATCATTTTGCGCGTACATTTTTGGGATTTGCATTTTTGCATTTGACGGACGACATCAATTGCGAGCCCTAATCCTAATCGGCACCAGTGCGTAATTTTTTTTAGCGGCTCGTGCCTGTATTAACGTTGCTTTTATTTTGTTTTTCTTTTTGAAGCATATCTCTTCATTTCCCGTTTTTTGCTAAAGAACTTAAACTCTGTAAGTCATGTAAATATTCCTAAGTTCTTTAGAACTTAATGCATAAGACATAAATAAAGTTTGCCGAGTGACCTCGCCATTGGCCTAGAATAATTCGACGATCTTTGAATAAGATTTGATCATTAGGTAACTGTCCAAGACTTGAAAAAGAAAACAGCAGTGGACAGATTTAAAAAAGAATGGAAGATGTGACCAAAGCATCTAAAAAACGAAAAATTAACAATATGGATAATAGTGAAGTAAGTAAATTTTTAAATGTAGTGTGTTGTATGTATGTAATTTTAAATATAGACTGTGTAAATTTTATATTGATTGTTTTGTGACCTGTATGTATTGGTTGTTCGGAAAGTCATTTCGTTTTTTTTGGGGAACATGAAACACAGTTTTCGTATAATGAATAAATATTTTATTAAATTATATATTGGCCATTCTGGTCCAACACCTTTTGCCATCTTTCTGGCAGTAACATAATTCCCCTCTCATAAAAGTTTTGGTCCTTGCTGGCAAAAAACTGGTTCAGGTGGTTTTTGACATCTTCATTTGAAGTAAAGGTTTTACCATCCAAAAAATTTTGCAGGAACCGGAACAAATAGTAGTCGGAAGGCGCCAGATCTGGAGAATATGGTGGATGTTGCAGTGCGTCCCATTCAAGCTGTAAAAGTTTTTGGCGAGTGACCAAACTTGTGTGAGGTCTCGCATTATCCTGGTGGAACACTACACCCTTCCTGTTGATTAATTCGGACCTCTTCTCTTTAAGTGAATCATTCAGTTTGTCCAGTTGATGACAATAGACTTCTGAATTAATCGTTGTATTGTCCGGCAAAAGCTCAAAAAAAACGATTCCTTTGACATCCCACCAAACGGAGAGCATCACCTTTTTTTGGTGAATGTTGCCTTTTGACACGCTTTGAGCCGGTTCATCTTTTCTGCTCCATGACCTCTTGCGTTTAACATTGTTGTATATAACCCATTTTTCGTCCCCAGTAATAATCCGCTTCAAAAATGGATCATTTTCTTGACGTTTGAGGAGCGAATCACACACGTCAACGCGACGACACAAATTTCGCTCCGTAAGGACATGGGGCATCCACACATCGAGCTTCGAGGTTTAGCCCATGCGTTTCAAATGGCCATAAACAGTCGAATTCGACAAATTTAATCTCTCACCGATCTCTCGTGTGGTTATTCGCCGATTTGCATCAACTAATGCCTTTATCGCATCTTTGTCAGCTTCGACCGGCCTTCCAGACCGTGGTGCATCTTCGACATCAAAATTGCCGGATCGAAATTTTGCAAACCAGTTCTGGCACTGGCGTACTGTTAACACGCCTTCTCCATACACATCCGTCAATTTTTTTCTCGCTTGGACAGCATTTTTACCTTTTCTGAAGTAAAAAAGTAAAATATGACGAAAATGCTGTTTATTGCTCTCCAACCAACCAACCAAAAACTACTGCTTAGAATTAATAGAACAAGCCTTGCAATATCAGCTCTCAAGACATATAATGGTTATGCGGCTTAAGTGTGAAGTTGGTTTCGAAAAAACGTAATTAAGTCCTCTGACGGGAAAAAACGAAATGACTTTCCGAACAACCTTATATGTTAGCAACAACAAATATTTCTATTCAATTTTCTATTAGCGATCTATGAATTGAAATTGGTAAATGATTAAATAGTTTTATTTAATAATTTATAAACTTTACCATATCAAATAATTAATTAGTTTTTTTTTAACTGTACCAGTGAATTTACAATCATTATCAATAGACACATCCAGAGCAAAAAGTTAACTTTATATTTGAAAATTTACAACCATTACCGATACCTATATATCCATCCTTTTAAAGGGTGCAATATCGATTGATATCTCGGATCACGAACTCGTTTTTGATGAGTTAAATGTTAATTTCACTCTCTTGTATGACCAATTACATTCGCTTCCGTGACGAAACATATGCGATATAATATTCGGAAATTAATGGATGGATGAACCGTGGACAACACACAACATCAAACTATTTATAAAAACTAAAATCATATATATAAAAGTACTAAAAATGTCGTTGATTTTGAACAAAACAAAAGTCTCAGAAATGTTACGATTAAGATAATTAAAAAGGAGAAAATGCCTACTTAACGTTAATTAAGGTTTCAAACACAGTTACCATACTGGACTAATATCTAACTAATCCAATTGTCTTGAGTGGTTTGAAATCTAAACCTTTGTGGTATCACAAAGTCCATTTATTCTTAAATATTTATTTTTAAATATATCTGCCTCTATATGTGCCTCTTCTCAAAACTTATAGTGGACTATTAGCATTTTAATACTAGTTTCCAAAATTATGGAAGCAACTAATTGATCATTTGGATAAGTCGGGCTTCAAAAGGGGTACGGTTATGCAACTGCTCTTGTAATAGTTTGTTCGGCACAATTGACGAAGCAAATTGACCATCTTGGGAATGTTGGATTACTATAAGGCATTTGATACCTCGAATCATCATACTTTGCTTACTATTCTAAAATACATAGTGCTCACTGACAGTGTTGTCGAATTTATGGGTAACTACCTACAAGATCGTAAATGAACAACAATCAGACTGCCGTGCTATAATATCTGGTGTGGCTCAAGGCTCCATTCTGGGACGACAGCACTGCAAAATTCAAATGCATGCAGATGATGCGCAAGTTTATTACTCACATCCGGGAGATAACATTTTGGAAATCTGTCTTATCATAAATATTGATTTATAAATCATTAATCCAATCATCTAAATCCAAAAAAATGTTTAGTAGGCTCGTGGATGTTAATCGACTGTCTCAACTAGTTGAAATAAAAAATATTTAATGCGTCTTTTCTTTGAAAGCAGAGGAAAACACCTTGATCTAATGCTCGAAAATAAGCTAAGATTTAATGGTCGCATTATACAAGGTATCAAAAAATTCGTTGCCCAATTAAAATGCCTATATGGTTCTAAAAATATTTTTAACAAATCAATAAAGATGCTCCCGTGTGATTCGATAGTTTTATGTTCTTTTAACCACTCTGACGTCATCCATTGTTCTTGTCTCACAGCGGCTGCCTCAGAATGGATAGAAAAGTCTAGAAACACTATTTAATAATCATTGTAGTCAAATGTTAGTCAAAAACTGAAGGAAGCTTAATATGAAAAACTGACGATATTTCCATAAATATAATCTTTATCACAAAATTATAAGAATGAATTCTCCACATCATCTTTGAGAAAATTATGCTTCCACGTCACACCACTGAAATTTTTGAAAGATCTTTTACATATCATTTAATTCCTAAACAATACCTTTGCCACACACCTGCGTGAAGAATATTATAGAGCAAGTATGGTAAACGGTATTCGAGTCACGAGTTTATTTGGCACGAGCGGAGCGAATATTTAATAAAGGTGACTTATAGTATATTATGCAACAAGTGCGGTAAACGGCATTTGAGTCACGAGCGGAGCGTTAGTTTTTACGCAAATTTTTGGAAAACTATACGAATATATTGACTAACATGACCGTCAGAATTGACAAACGTGAAAATTGAAACCGTGCGGTAATATCTCCGAAAACATCCGAGAAATGTCCGAAGTGACTCGCAACTGTGGCAAATGAAACTAACGAGGTAAAATGACGCGCAAGCGCAAGGCATTTTACAGAAACGAGTAGAAAAAATTGTTTAATAATTCAATTAATTATTTTTTTTTATGCCCATCTTTCGTGCCAAGCATAGCACCCTTTTTTTGTTTAGGATAAGTTTAAAAACAGAGGCTCAAAATATATTCTTTTGTTCATCTGAGTCGCCTCTTTTTCATATGTGAATAAAGTTATAATTATTATTATTATTTTTCATTAACCAAACACTGAATCAGATCTAAGTAAGAGAAAACAATGTTTATGGTAATATAAAATATACTTAAAATATATTACACACATATACACACACTTTATCAAAAATAATGCTTAATAATAATTTTTCTACTCCCGTCGGTAAAATACCTAATTACATACCGATCTAGCATGCGGGAAGCGTCACTTTACCACGTCACGTTTCCTTTCCCACGAATCCGAGCCACTTCGGACATTTCCGGGATTTTACCGCACGGATTTGGAAGCAATGTTTTCGGAGATATTTCCCACGCCTTGAATTTTGAAGTTTGTCAATTCTGACGGTCATGTCAGTGAATGTATTAGTGTTGTTTTACGGAAATGTACCCAAAAACTAACGGTCGTAGAAAAAGTATAGTATGCAACACGTTCGGTAAACTTTTTAACTCACCACTCGTTTATTAAACACTCGCTCTGCTCGTGTCAAATAAACTCTTGAGTCAAATGCCGTTTACCGCACTTGTTGCATAATATGCTATTAATAGATTATTGGATATTTTTAATTACGTGCAATAGTTCTATCTCTTTTTTCCATGGTTAACTTTTGATAACTAACTTAGTGAATTCTCGAATATTAATTTGTTGTAACTTTGTATATTACTTAAGTGTTTTAAAAAACTTTGGGTTAGCGAAAAATCATAGATTGCCATGTTCATGAAAATTAAGCCAATAAAGTTTTGTCCCAGAATACTTATAAAACGCGTACATTGGACGCAATGTATATTCACAGTAAATATTATAATAATATATTCAAATCGTAAGTGGTGGGATGGTTCTTACCCAACATACACCTTCGCTCGCAATGCTTGCTCCGGTCATATGAGAATTGGGGGCTATTAGGGTATTACTCGATTTGACGTTTATTTTTTCTATCGGTATTCCCAACTTGTAAGCGCATGCTTCAACTGCCTAAAATCAACATTTCAGTTCTGTTTAGGAAATCAAATAACTCCTAGGAACTCTTGAGTTAACACCACTCACCTTGGTATTTATACCTTGACCCACCTCAACCCCACCATGGGCAATCGATACTGTTCCATCGGCGTGATAAATTGAAACTATTGCTTCATAAGCAAACCACAGCTCGAATGGGTATATCATTGGGGATATCGAAAGGCCCTTTTTCTTCCAGTTGTTTTCCTGGAATATATCAAAACAAGGAACTTCTTGTCATTCGTCTCAATTCAAATTGCACCTGGTTAAACTTCGTTATATCCTTACGTCTCTTGTCGATTTCCGCCCATTGGATAAAATCATTGATATGTTCTTTAAGTTGATTATGTTTGGGGTCGATATTTTTTACTTTGAACTCCCAAGGGTCCATGCCGATTTCCATAGCGGCGTGTTCCATGATCGATTCTATCATGCCGAATCCTTCCAGGCTACCTGTGAAACACGATGGGCCATCGTTAAGTTCCTTTTGAAAAATATATTAAAACCTGGTGCTCTGGTGTAAGCATTAGCTGCAGTATCTGTGGTAGTCAACTTGGCATTGCTTTGCCAAGTGTCGTATTTATACACTCCCGTGTAAATGTCAAGAAGGAGCATCAAGCATTGCTCGTTGCCCCCACACCCGTGATCATAATAAAACTCATTTTCAAGATACTGTATTAGACCCGTCTCGTCAACACCTACCTTGTAATGGCTCAATATGGGGTACCTACAAAGGGTCAAAGAATAGCGTTTATAAGCAAAGGGAGATAATAGATCGCATCACCTTTTACCCATCACGCTTATGTTTGTCTCCAAAGGCATCCACAGTTTGACTGGTTTCTTCAACAAATGCGCTGCGATGGCAGCTGCAGAAGCTACCATTGCGATCCTAGCGATTTTCGCACCAAACCCCCCACCCAACCTTTTCACCGACACATCTATCCTTAAAACTTGCCAAGGTTAATTTGTATAATTGTAGTTAAAGCTACTTACTTGTGGACTGGAATATTCAAGACCGTTGCAGCAGACCTTTGACAAAGGTCCATCCATTGCGTTGTTGGATACAAATGCAAGCCTTCTTCTGTGGGTACTGCATTGCAGCATTGGGTTTCCATATGAAAATGGTACTGCCAGGACATGTTGTACTTGCCACAAATTTCATTAATTACACTAGTCCCTGAAAGGACGAGAAATCAATAGATAAATTTTACAGAAGCCGTCAAAATAATCGCACAACCTTTACGACTTGGTAGGATAATATTAGCTTCCTGAATTTTTCCAGTATTCCCTCTCTCTAGAACGTCTTGGATGGTAACGAATGGTTTTTCTGAAGCATTGGCATAGCTAATTTCCACTAGCTCGGCAGCGTGTTGAGCTAGCATTTGCGAAGTCGCTACTACGATTCCTATTGGTTGGGAGTGATACAGCACTTTACCACTACAAAACAGCTCTTCCTCTACGGGTGGAGGGGGAGGATCTGTGGAGTTCACAGGAGGTGCCATGAATTTTCCGAAATAATTTTTTCCCGGGATGGAGCTCTTATCAAAAAATGCCTTAACACCTTTTAGTTTCTACAATTTAGAACGCCTTTATCAGGCACCAGATGATTCTGGAGTATTACCAATGCTTTGTCAGGATTACATTTGATAATCCGGGACCCTGGAGTAGCTTGTGCTAGTACGAATGCAGCGAATAATTGATTTGGTAAGTTGGGCATGTCTAAAACGTACTCAGCTTCACCTGAAATCGATGGAAACACAAACCCTGAGTGCAGGAGACTGTTCGATTGAAATTACCAGTAACTTGATATTTAGCTTCGATTTTAGAAGTGCTTCTGGCTAATGGATACAAGCACTCTTCAGTTTCATAGTCTTGCGTAGCTCTGGATACCGGTCTGTCGAGAACAGATCTCCCAGATTTGTGGGAGTGAGAAATGATCTGTATCGGTGCTATACTCAGAACATACTGAAAATATAGTACGATATCAGAGACTTTAATGAGACCCAATAGATTTTACCTTGTAAAACAGAGAAATAGCTAGACGATTTCTAAATTTTGGCTGCGAATCAGGCTCCGCGTGGTCGCAGATTAGTTCTTCGTCCAATTTTTGGAAAGCTATTTGCAGCACTTCGTTGTCGAATATAGGTTTTCCTTTCAAATACGTTTCGGTGTGGATAGCCCGGACGAAGTTCTCGTTGATACAGCCAAATACTATGCGAGCCGATTCGACGGTATAGTCGGCGCTTAATTTTAAAAGAAAACCAGCGTTCACCAGCGCATGTGCGTTTTGCTTTCTGGGCATGATCTGAAGAAGTTTTTGATTTATGTGGGTGGAAAGAATCGTACAAGTCATACCTTGTAACTTTCGAATTTATAGGTGTTGTCCAATACAGGTAAGTGTATTTTGTGGATGATTTTGTTTGACATGTCGGTTGCCAGAAAATGTTCCGCCGTTAGGTGATATGTTTTGTTGTTGTAATCGACTAAAACAGAAGCTGTTGTAATGACAAAATCGCAAGAGTTATTATTTACTGCAATCGCAGAAGTTGCACTCTATAAGTCATAAGGGCATTTGTTAAAAGAATTTCTTTTACATATTGAAGCTTTATTTTCAAAATGTTTTATGTATCGGTTCGCTTGGAATGGAAATTTATGTGTTGTTAATGTTAAGATATTGAAGATGTCTACCCCTGAAAAATATGAATGTTTCCAGGTCTTTTTCTTAAGAAGCCATTCCTAAGCATTATTGCATAAATGTTTTTTCATTAAGTATACTCAGCGAATTATTAATAATAAAAAAAGAAAAAAGTTATTGACTTATGTGCGGGTTTAAAGAAAAACAAATTGCTACGTCGTCCACATTTAAGAAAATGTATTGGTTTCTGCCATAACAAAATGAATTTCAGCAATATGAGTTTCTACTTCTTCCCATGTCTCAAATAAAAAAATCGACGGAGTTGTTAAATGTGACCGTTATATTACTAACGAGATGGTTAACATAAATTCAAGTAGCACCCTGGATAGTCCCTCGAGAAAATAATATGTCATTTTTTTGTCAGATATGATGCTTAAGGTATCACATTTGAGCTTTTATTCACAAGTAGTTTTGACTTGTTTCGATAAATCACTGCAAATTAATCTTTCCTACATAGTCATTCTTATTAGGGGAGAGTTCCCTTGAAACGGATAATTTTCCTTTTTAGATTTTAAAATATTGTTTTAATTAAGAGTATATTATGCAGGAAGTATGTTAAATGGCATTGGCATCAACGAGTGACTATGAAAGTTTACCAAACGTGTTGCGTACTATACTTTTTCTACAACCGTTAGTTTTTGGGTACATTTTTGCAAAATAAACACGAATACATTCAACGTCAAAATTCAAGCCCTGCTGTAAAAGCTCCGTAAACATCCGATTGATCCCAATCCCGGAAATATGCGAATTGTGGTCCAATGGTCCATGTGGTCCAATGACGCTTCTCGCACGCTGGATCGGTGTATAATTGGGTATTTTACAGAAAGGAGTAGAAAATGTTAATCCGTTATATTATGGGCGGAATATTCGTGAATTTACTTTTTCACAAAAAACAGGAAAAAGAAAAGCTAATAATATTAAAAAATCATTTTAGCTTTATTTTCGTATTTCTTTTGTTATGGAAGCTATGCACATGAATCGTTAATTTTGGTTAGTTATATATCTCATCTCCAAAGCACTTCCTCCAAAAAAATGCAATTACTCCAAATGATTCGTGGTCTTACTTTTTACACAGATGGCACTTTTTTATTGAATCCCCACAATTAGAATTATTTTCCTCCTAATTTTTCTTGTCTTCTTCATTTAAAGCACTATTTTCTTCTTACTCTAGTGAAGCTAAGCATTTCCCAAAATTTTGAGACTTTTTATATATATTTTCTATCTTACCTTCATGGTGAAAGCTCTAAATATTAAAGATCCATATGTACAGGACGTTCTATAGGAAAAAATAAATTTTTATTTGCTGCTATACATTTCGTGGAATCCGACAGTTTGGTGTCGATGAACTGGACATTTTGCTATATCAATAATTTTCATATACCTGTCTAGTGTACGGCTATCACTAAACAGATACATCTCAAAATCACTTATTAATCATCACTAGAAACGGTGCTATCCACTTTGCAAATTCACATGCATATTTACTATACTGAGATGAAACATGTCACGGTCCACAAATATCCACAAGATGTCGCCTGATGTTGCCGACCTTGGACTTTCATAAAACATGCAAAATTACTATCTAGCGCAGTTGGAATCTTAAATGTCCGGTTCACTGGCAATCTAATTAAAAGGAGCTCTCTCGCACTATAAAATAATCTTACCGATTTCCAATCGTGCATCGACAGCGGCGAGAATTAAAAAAATATCTGACGGGAAGCTTTTATGCTGGTGTTTCATCATCAAGTTCCCGGCCAATGTGCCGATCTGAAATTTGAAAATTTTATTGTGCGGGAAAAAGTCTTTTCACGCGGGACCGCCTCACATTCCTTACTGGTACATTTGCCACGAGATCGATATGGTCGGCTAATTTTTCCAGATATTTGTACCCCCGGCTGGTTTTCGCCGTGGCTAGTAATATCGCCATTGTATCCGTGAGGGTAATGTTTGCCCCAAGCACGAGGGTGTTTTCATTAAGTTGATGTCCCACCAACTCGGTTATATTGGATATGTCGACAGAGACGTTAATGGCACTTTTATTTTTATAGACACCTAAAATTGGGTTTAAAAATGCGCCCGTAAAATGTGGAGGTAATCAGTGCGATCTTTTTGCTTCGGATAATGACTATTGACTTTGTAAGCTAATATGAGGGGGCGTTAATGGAGAAACTGCATAAAAATTGCGAGACGCGGAAACTTTTAATGATGTTTGCGATTTAGTTTTCGACTTGTTTTATTGGTTTCGGGGTAAACTAACTCGATTTTAAAAAAAAACTTTCAGCCTTTGCATGTGAAGTCTCGCTGAAGCAAATAAATATGAATTAAGACACGAAAATTTCACACAAACTTATTTGAAATGTTAAATATTAATATGATATGGTTACACACACAAAATACACTTCGAAACAAAATCATCACTATAATTTAGATCAATTTCAAATTTAATTTTCTAGCCAACTGCTGACTCGAATTGGATATATATTTTTTAAATTGTAGCTTAAATCCTCATAAACGATTTGTTGTACTCAAATTTTGTCAAAATCTGTAGGAATTCCTTTAAACACTATTGGGTGTTTGTCTAAGATAGTGTTTGAGCACTCTTAGAAACGGTTGCGCAGTTTATAGAAAGCTTTCTAGATCCAATTGTCGAGGTGAGCATACTTTGCATAGTTTGCAACTTTCTCCGTTCTTTTCTATTGCCGCTTTTCGTGCCAATTTACGACTTCGGCTCTTCTCGAGTCCTCCTTAACTTCCTCTGACCATTTTTACCTTGGTCTTTCCCTTCTTCGTTTCCCGCCTGGGTTCCACTGTAACATTCAGTATATCGTTGTGGTCTCTACTGTTCTCCACACATGCCCCAATCACTTTAATCATATTTATTTTATTTTCCTTACTATATCCCCGTCAATAAAATCTTCCAGTACCTCGTTATTGGTTCTTGTACTGTAATTATTTTAGTCTACTTTCACTGACCAGGTCAGGCCAGCTGTCGATATCAGCAACTTTTATTTTTTCTTCATCTCTATTCGTCATTGTCATAGTTTCTGCAGCATACAATAAGTTGGTCTTATTATAGTTTTGTTAATCTTTGAGTTTTTTCATAAAAAAAATAATAAAAATTTTCTTCAATTTCAGTATATTTTTCTCCTGTACTAGTATTTTAATTTGTTTACTGCTTTAAAGCTGTCATTTCCTATGTTTAACACACTTCTGGCAGTTCTTCGTGTATAGATTATTAATTTAGTTTTCCCTTCATTCAATTGCAGCTCCTTTCTCTTTGTAATTGAGCTATTATTTCACCTCCTCTTGATTCTTTCGAAAAGTTCGATTTTTTAAAGGTATCTACGCTCGTATACAAATTTTATATATACAAAAAATATCATTTTTCGAAACCGAAAAAAATCTTGAACCAGAAGATGCAGAAACTTTTATTCTTGACAATTTTTCAAAAATATACAGGGTGCGCCGCAAATTCCGAGAAATGGGTACTGAAAGATTATAATTCAGATGTCACTTTCTTTTACATTGCGATATAGTCCGTATAGATAGCTAAAACTTTTGTATTTAAGGTTTTCAGCTATTGTACAGGGTGTTCCTGATATACCGTGCTATATAAGAAAAGTGTTATGTGTCCTAAATTTGCAGATATCAACTTCAAATTGAGCAGCGCAGTAAAGGTCCGTGTCCGCACTAAGTATTTTTTGAAAATTTTTGAATTTTTTTTTGTTATTTTGGCGTACAGAAAAAAAATCCTTGAAAGCTGTTAATCTGATCTACAAAATTCTCGAACCAAAAGACGCTGAATATCCGGAACTATAACTTTAATTTTAAGCATTTTTTCGATAATTTACAGGGTTTTTAAATTATAGACAAAATTATAAAAGACCCGAATTGTTTTTTTACAGTAAATTATTAGCTGTAAATCAAAATTTGTAGAAAATATAACTTATTGCTACAATTTTTGTATTTACGGTTTTCGTCTGCCACATACGCTGATCGAGATATTTGAAAAAATCCAAATAACAATCACCATTTCTCGCTCTCAATCTAGACGCGATGATGTCATTTACCATTACCACGTACTGCATGGTTTCAGAAAACAAGTATTTGTGGGAGATCCAGGGGTATAACCTGCATTTCGAACATTGTTTAAATTATATACAGGGTGTGCCGTCTATGAGCAAAAAAATCTCTAATATCCAAAAAAAATCCGTTTTTGTGGGTAAATTATTGGGGATAATTGAAAAACTGTCAAAGATGCGATAATTTGTGTCGAGACAGATTTCCAGGTTTCGTCTATCATATAGAGTGCGCGAGATATTTGAAAAAACATCATTGGAAATCGCTATTATTTCTAAGAAATTTTAATATTTATCAAAGTTTGCCGTAACTTTGAAGTTCAGTGAGATCTGCAAGACGGTTTATACAGAGTGTATGCACAATAAAATTACAACGATTTTGTGAAAGTTCAATAGTGGTCCGCAGGAGCACGATAGAAAAAACAATGCGTCTCTCTACGACAAGAAATCGCAAAGTGGCTTCGATGTTTCGAAAGCAATCTTGTTCAAATTGTTCCTTTATATATGTTTATTAGTATACACTCCAAGACTAGATTAAATATTGTTGCTGCCTATGAATCTCCCTGTCTGTGATCTTTATTGGTATCGTATTCTTTGGTTTTTCGCCGCTTTGTTTTGATACTGATTGCTGTCCTTTTCATATCATGGTTTTCTCAATTTTGGAGTTATTTTCAACTCCTTTCGTGCTCCTGAAAGTTGTTCTTTTTTAATTGAATCAAGTCATAACTTCATTTCTGAAGACGTAAGCTACAATTGAAAAAATATTTTATAAACAAAAGCCTTTTTTTTGGATTATGCGTTATGTTAACCAGCGGTTAAAACTTAAATATAACTTAATAATAATTATAATAAGTAACAATAATAAAACTTAATAATTGAATTAATTGAAATAATTAATAACTTAATCTTATTTTACATACTTACATAAGTTATTGCAATTTTGCTGCAAATTTAGTATAAAATGTTATAAACACAATAATATTTATTAATTATTTAATACAGCTCTCAATACAGTTATAATATCTGTCCAAAGATTAAAAAAAAATGTATTTATGTGGCGATCAAAGGGTGATAGGGCGAACCCTAAATATTTACAGCAACCAGCTTTATTCTGTTTGCTGAATGTCCACTTTTAAAGATGTAAAAATAAATCACTTTCTCCGGCATAATTTTTACCGCAAGAGAGCAGCACTGAGGTGTTATGAAAATTAAATAACTGTTTCCCAATGAAAAGTGTCATTAAAAGATTATATTTGGAATTCACCATTTAGTTTTTTATACGCATATTTACAAGTTAAGAGAGCAGCGCCAAAATTTCCCGGTTTGAATATGAGAGAAACAAAGTAGAGTATTTTTCAATATAATCTCCCTTAACTTCAATACACTTATTACATCTATTTATTATCAGCTCAGTCCCTTTAACAAAATATTCTTTTGGTTTGTCTGCAAAATGAGCTAAGAAAAACTCTTTTAAATCAACTTCGTCGTTAAACCGCCGTCCACGTAAGTCTTTTTTCAAATATCCAAACAAATATCGGATAACAGATATGGGAGCCATATCTGGACTATAGGGAGGATGATATATCCTTTGGAACCCACACTCTAAAATGGCAGCTTGTGCAACACCAGCAATATGGAGAGGTGCATTATCGTGCAAAAGACGCACGCCTCTGGTCAGTTTTCCTCGACGTTTGACGCGGATGCAGTCTCGCAATTTATGTAATAATCTTGCGTAATATTTACCATTGATAGTGGTATTAGTTTCTTTAAAATCTATCAAAAGAATTCCTTCACAATCCCAAAAGATCGTGGCCATCACCTTTTTTGTTGACTGGCAGACTCTGAATTTTCTTGGAGGTGCTTCACCCTTACGGCGCCACTCCATTGATTCTTTTTTCGATAGAGGGTTATAATAGAGAACCATAGTTTCATCTCCCGTCACAATAGTTTCTATCACAGTCTTCGGTTCCAAAAAAGACCGCGCACACTCGACACGGCGTTGTTTTTAAATAACCGAAAGGTTTTTAGGAACCCATCTTGCACTAACCTTATGCAATCATGCAGGATTCTACGAACACTTGTATCAGAAAGCTTAGTAATTTCTGAGATTTCCTTGACCTTTGAAAGTCGATCACTCAATATCACCTCTTCCACAATCGCCACAATATCTTCCGTTATGACCCCTACTGGTCGACCAGTTCTTGAATTATCTTCAATCATTCATTCACTACAGAATACGAAGGAGAACTTTGACCGTACACACCATCCAGCCTTTCTTTAATAATTTTAGGTGCTCACCCTTCTTTTGTCAAAAACTTGATGACTGTTCTATACTCAATTTGCGTTATTTGCGACATTTTTTCGGACACGTCTTGTTTAAAATGCTGTAAAAAAAAATACTTAATTTTTTTTTGCAGCCTACTAAGATATGTATTTAAAAGAAGACAAAGTTTTATCGTGATACTGGAGCTGCATCTATGTCAGGCCGGGAAATTTTGGCGCTAACCTCGTACATCCTTACCCTTGGCAGTATTGCCGGCAAACAAAGCGTAACTACGCCCGTTATCTCCTTTATCGGACTCGCTGAAAGTTCTCATAACTTGCAACAAGTCGTTTAATTCAAAAACTTTAATCCAGGTTTCGCCAGATGGAAGAAAGTAAAACGGCGACCTTGCCTTGCTATGGCAGCCACGAGTTACGGTATTAGTTTCGCTACAGCTTCGTAAATCTTCTATATCTGTCAGGCACGCTTTCAAATCTGCCGTTGCGTCGTCACACAAGGACTTGAACGCGGACAGAATCGGTCTGTATCCCGTACAACGGCATATGTTTCCTAGAATATATGATGTATAATACGTGTTTGCGCCGGATAACACTTTTTCCGACTTGTATCATTGAAATACTCAAAAAGCGTGGTTAATGTAGCTATGAATCGAGAATTTAAAGTAATTCCTTTAATTTCAACCCGTCCACGCAGAATTACGTTCAAAAATGAATCAACCAAAACCGAATGTGTAATTATATCACATGTCAAATATTCAAATAAACCCAGATATCCACTACTCCTAGGATTAAAATTGATACCTATTCATATATTTTTTTATAAAAATCAAAAACTTTAAAGCCGGTTCCTCACCTTAAGATATGCAAAGCAACTTTAAATGAACAAGTATTTTTTGGTTACATCTGTCCGGGATGGTGAAAATGTAAATAATATTAATTATAGTCTTTAGTGAAATATATTAAATTCTTGCACAAAATTTACATTTCAAAACGAGTCTGACAAGATTTTGACATCAGCTACACAACATTTTTTGAATATTACGATAATAATAGCAACAAGCTATAATAAGAGTCTTAACTTTATTATTGGTAGAATAATAATTTGCTAAGGACGTAACCTTTGTATAATACGACCAAAAATATAGTGCACTTATTGAAGACCTTCATGCATTATGCATATATTACGGAGGTATTTGACTATGATCCTTCCGGTAAGTACGTATTTATGTACCTGATTCTCGAGCTTTGACCCTGCGAGGGTGTAGTTCATAGGTAAGTTTTGGTTAGTTTCGATTAAAAACATTCTTCTTCTTGTATTTTTGTGTTTTGTATATAGTTGTTCGATTTGTAAACAACAACAATCTTTTTTAAGACTATAAATTATATTTGCGGTAGATAAAGGTACGTCATAAGAATACAAATAAATATTTACTAGAATCTTGCAATTAATCATTTTTTGAAGTTTCCTGCTTTTTAACACTTTAAAATGTGGAGACGGCGGAATGAAGGTGTTCTTCTGTTAGAAGAGGACGTGGAAAACAACGCAGAATCTGAAGACGAAGTGGAGATGGTAGTCGAAACTACCTCAGCAAATAAAAATACTGATCCATTTGTCTTCGCATGCTAAACAAATTGTTCTGATTGTTTACAATTTTATAAGAAATTCAGAAGGAGAAGTAGGAGCAGCAATAAAAACCAGTGACTTGACCAAAGTTTCGAAGTCAACTGAAGGAAAAATTGATGCAAATGGAATAGGCAAAAGGAAAGTGAGAGAAGATGCTGATACTTCGTGACTTTTGAAAGAGCAACACGCAGATCTAATTAGGCGTATAATCTACGACGCTTATAAAGTGTAGAAGAACTGTATTTAAAGTACTTAATGATAGAGTGTACAGAGGCGCTTCTGCAAGTACTCTTGTACAGAGACACATGTCCTGCCGGCAGGACTTCTCTCCGCTCATAAGATTAGCCTTTAGGCAGAACCAAACGTCCTTCTGGCAGTACAGGTGCTAACTAGAAAATAAAACATGTGGCCTCATCGTCTTAATCAGTTCATGTCCTGCTGGCAGGAATCATATTTAGTCATATTTGTACTTCCTGAAGTTAATAAAATAAAACGAGAACTAATATTTTCATCACCTTAACATAAAGAACACTTTATAAAACAAATGACATAAATTTATAATATGTAATTAGGCTGGTATACCATGCTGAATGTGATATTTGAAACAATTTCTTCCAGTAGTTGGAGAACACATTACTGCTCGCATTCAACAAGCGCTACATCTATAACTAGACTTCTGCTGCACATTTCTTATTTCACTGCAAATAATACACTTTCTTTGCACTCTTTGCCGTTTATCTTCCTTACTTAGGGCAGTGAGAGTGTGTTCTCCAGGAAGCCAATTTTGTCTCTGGGGTAGGCGTACTTCATTATGTACTTGGCGCGGAGCTAGCGGAGTTTCTACTGCAGCACCTGACCATTGGTTATTAATAAGTTGTAGTGCCAAAACTGCAGTAAAATCGGAGTGCTTTTTATTAAAATCTTTTTTTAAATATTTATATGCTATAAAAGCATTTGCCTCTATAGTTCCAGACCATGTTTTATGAGCAACTAATCGACAAGTTTGAACTCTGTCATTCAAAAATGCGCTTGTAGGGCAATCGTTTACGAATCAGAATTAATGCACATTTATCCTGCTGGTAGAACCTACAGTCCTAATATTTAGCGATTTTCATACGTCCTGCCGGAAGGCCGCTGTATATTCTATCATTAAATATTAGTTGTGCCAAAGAGTCGTTGCGTACTTTTTTGAAGAAAATGGATTTTCAATTCCAAACAATTAATAAACATCAAGGGCTAAAAGAATCTCAATGATTTTTGCAAGGAGGGCCATTGGTGTATTTAGACGAATCGTGGTTCGACACTCACGATACAGTAAAAAAAGGATGGTGTGTATTAAACGTGTTGCTTTCACATGGAAAACGAATAATAATTCTTTATATTTGAGGACTGTTTTGAAAACAAACTGTTGCAAATACTGCTATTGTGTTGGATAATGCCTAGTATCATTCAGCCCAAATTAGAAAAATTCCAAATACTTCTTGAAATAAAGAAGAAATTAAATAATTTGTCTATGAAAATGATTTTGAAGAGAGATACACGAAAAAGCACACTCCTGGAATTATTAAAAATAAAATCTTTTAATAAAGACTAACAAAATCGATTCGATAGCACAACAAAACGGACATGAAATATTGACATTACCATCGTATCATTGTATATTTAATCCGATTGAGATGATTTCGTCTGAGTTAAAAGGGCATGTAAGAAGAAATAATGCTGCACCAAACTTTAGTGATAGTACCAGAAACGTATATCAGTAAGAGGTAGCTAAAATATCAGTACAAAGCTGGTCTAACTGAAAAACGATTAATAAAATAAGAAAATATTTATCGAGAACGATTAGTGGCGGAGTTGATCATTAAATTAGGTGACGACAGTAGCGATAATGACGATTTTTTATGTGACTGATACTTTATTATTATCATATTTAAAATTTGTATATTAATAATGATACTACGTAGAAATGTTGGTCACCTATTAAGTACTAAATATGTGTGTCTGCAACGCAATATTCCACCAGACACATGAGCAACGAAATAAAAAATGCACCAGCTGATCGAAGCTCATGGATCGAAGACATCTGTTTAACAAAAAATGATCTGTTTCATGAAAACACGTCATATTTGAACATTTTTTTCTTTCTTCCTATGTTAAGCTGTTTAATTTGATATGAATTCTTGTCAGTTCAGGACATTCCATGAAATTTCTAATCGAGACATCGACTCAAAAATTTGGAAATGTTCACTCCGTGCAATGGCCCTAAAATATTTATAATACATCGAAAACCAAAATTGATTCGAACGAAAAAACATATTTTTGACACGTTTGACATACTTTCTAATTTGATTTGCTGTGTGTTGATAGTCTTGGTCACAACTCCCATTTGCATGCCTACACGAAGTCTTCCATAAAGCGTTTATTCAATTTTTTTATTGTTTTTATAGGTTCTTTGGTGCTACCAAATTTATAATTATTCTTTATCGATTACCTACCTCCAAATGAATTCTCCACGGTCTTCATTGTTAGATTTTCCGACGAATATCGCAGGGCGTACATGTTCATTACCATACCGGGTGTGCAGTACCCACACTGACTCCCGTTAAATCGTATTAAGGCCTCTTGGATAACATTTCTGCGTTCCGAATTACCTAGTCCTTCGATGGTATAGATGTGCCATCCGTGGCAAGAAAATATCGACACCAGACACTGTCACAGGAGAACTTTTTCAAGTTTTTTGTGATGACATGCCTCTAAGCACATCTCTACCGAATACGCAAACCAAAGAATTAATTGTGATTGTTTCTGGTTTAAAACAGTTGGATATTGCTTGGCGGAGTGTCATATTAATTGGTGGTCATCTGATGAATAAGGAGTTTCTCTTTTTAAAACATAAGACTGAGAAACTGAGAGTTTAACTCTGTTTACGGGTTCCATTTTTTTAAAAGTTATTTTAATTTGATAATCTCACTATTTATGGTATTATTATTAAAATGCCAAGCAATTTTGGATTGTTTTCTAAACTCCATATCTGCATGCACATTTTTGGAAATATTTTTATGATGCAAAATATCTTAATCTACAGGTTGATAAACCGGGTACTGCTTTTTTTGAAGAATGCAAACAGATGACAATTTTAATTCGTACTTTACCTCAATTGGTAAAGTCAATGTACTATGCACAAAAATATATTATTTTTTTCATACATTCATTAATTTTGATTTTCTATTACCCCTAAACCCTGCCAGAAAAATTATTATGACAAATGATATGACATGACATGTTCTAGGAGGATGGCTCAAAATAAATATCAATTTCCCAACAAAAACTTTTCTAAAAATATCGCTACGTACGTTTCAGGCTTTCCAAAGTTCACCATTAAGTAAAAATTATTATATAACCTTTCATTGACGATTGCAACTATATAAACTAGCAACAACTACATATTCACTATAACAGCACATTGCTTCAATATTTAAGTCAAATGTCTTGTGCCAAACTAAATATATCGCATTAATTGAACTGAGATACAGGGTGTCAAAAATATAAATTTTCCAAAATCACACTGTATCTAAAAATCCAAGATAACTATGACATTTTTGTTTGCTCCACCTACACTTCGTTTCATAATAAAGTAGTCATAGGTGACGAAAGCTCTGTATGTACCGTGCGTTCAATTTATCTTCGTAACATTTTAATTGGTTGTAACTATCAAAGTAAACAAAAAAGCAAAGTATAGGGTCAATAGCCAAGTTTTTCTCCCAGTGACGTATAAAACAAAACACGGTCTATTTTCTGACATATAAGCCTACATCATATTTTTTAAATGAAAAATTCTGTATATTATATATGCGTTTAATAGAATATCTTATTGCGATTACAAGAATGTAACACAATTTATATTTTAGTTCATTCGTTTTTGACAAACTGCCAAAAATGGGAAATCTTTATATAATTTCAAAGAGTGCACTGAGTGACAAATAAAAATATGTTTATGTTTGTCATATTAGTAAACAACATTGTTGTTGAAATATTGTTCAAGTCATTATTGTTAAAATGGTTTTTCGCTAATTGAGCATGCTTCAAGAATACTTTCTGAATAATAAGAGCGCCGAGTTCCTTCAAAACAGATATTTCCAAGGCTGGCAAAGAAGTTTGCAGAAAACGATAACGTATTAAATGTTAAAAAGGTTTGCCGGAATCATAATGTTTTAAATGAAGAAAATAAGGTCAACATATTAGGATTCTAAGAAGCACAGCCAGTTTCCTCTATTACTAGAGTATATCAAGCCACCAAGTTTTGAAAGAATATAAATATAATGCATTTAAATTTCATAAAAGTCAAAAACCAAGTGTAGGAGAACGTCAAAGGAGGATGCAGGATACATAAAAGACATCATACAATTAGAGTGTACGAGAAAGGTGTTCAGGAAAATGGTGGTCACATACAGCAGTATTTTTTACTTTAGTATCTTGTCAGTTTTAGTGCTTTTGTTCTACTTTAATTTGTAAATAATTATTATTGTTGCAGTCAGTCACAGCACTCTTTGAAATTCTATAAAAATTTGGTATTTTGTCGATTTGTCAAAAACGAGTGGACTGAAATATAAAGTGTGTTACATCATTGTAATCAGAAAAAAGATATTCTATTATACACATATATAATATACAGGATGTTATATTTAAAAATATATGATATAAAAATATGATGTCACTTGAAAAAAACTTGGCTACTAACCCTACGTTTTGATTTTTTGTTTACCTTGATATCTCTAAAAACACAAAAGTTGCAGGCAATTAAAATGTTATCAAGATAAATTGAACCCACAGTACAATTTAAGTTCAGCTTTTTTGGCTAGTTAGCCTAGTGCCTAGCGCTAGTGTAAGCTATAAAATGAAATTTTCGCATTTTTCAGTGGAGGAGCAGAAAAAGGAGAGACATTCAATCTCTCCAAACGTTTCGGGCTGAATAATCCCGTGGTGGATACTCACGCAATCGTTGGCATAAATTAAAATGATTGCCAGTCGAACACTAAATATTAGAGAAGTGCATACATAATGAGACCCGATATTAATTATCTAAATATCAGTGCCCCGACCGAATTACGCAGCGGGGACCCGTTGAGTGGATTAACGATCGAATTGTGCATCCCACTATTTTTTTCAAAATACCCCTTCACAATATTACGCGTCAAAATCAAATTTAACTCGGTTCCGTTCCGAATGATCGTTAAAAAAAACCATCAGATTTTATCTCGCGTCACTTCGTGAGGAATTGTTAGGTGGCGTTCACATCGAACCTTGTATTAAACATGTTAGGTGGTGATTTTCAGCCGCATTACCCTGTTATCTAGATTAAATAATCCTGTGAAAATCGTTTATACAAGATTTAGAGCGGCGATTGCGGAGTACGTTCGCGGCATTTAATTTTAATTCTGTGAGCAACTGCGAGCCCAATTTATGGTTTTGAAAACATGGAGAACGAAAAGAAATGCATCAGCTCAATAGCGATTTTGACAGCAAACAAACAATAACCTTTGAAAGGTAGTCAACTTAATGACATGAAATTCTTAATTTTCGCTTGGTATAAAAAATATGTATGATTCTACGTAACTAATTGTGTCTACTAACGTGAAAATTACGAAAAGGTCCGAAAATTTAGATATCTATTTGGAAAAATCTCCGAATTATTTTAAATATTCCTAGGGTCAGGGTAATTTAATTATAAAACTTATAAATTTTATATTAATAGTCATTTTTATTATTTCTATTTTTTTAAACCTGTGTATGTTCTTTTGTTTTATTATAAATTTTGTTTAGTGACACAAAAAATGTGGGGCGACCAGGTTGGAAGGCTGAATTTTTTTATTTACCTTCTTGATTTTGTAAATATTTTAATATATTTATTATAAAATTTATATGTTTGTTGTTTGTATTATTTTTGCCATAGTCAACCAATTTACAAAGGAATTTACATCCTCTAACTATAATGTTATTATTACAAAGAATGAAACAATTTGATTGAAAACGTTTTTAATATAGCCACAAATTTAGTCTGTTGTATGTTTTGATCGAGCATGTTTACTATAAAATGTTTAAATCAATGAAGACTTCTTCTGTGGATACAAGCGTAAAATACTTTAGGATTAAATTAACCGATAATAAAATAAAAACAAGACTTTTGCTGATAGGAATCCCTCTGTTCGCTTATGCTTTTAAAATACTTACGGAATTTACAGCTCTGATTTTGGTATCTCCGCAGATGGTAACCGCAACGACGCACACACCACAACCACCTTCTTCGCACATCTTTTTGGTACCCGTTAGCAGCAGGTGGTCACGCAGATAAGTATTCAGGGTGGTGCCCGATGAAAAATTTGACGCGTCCACTGAAAACGCACAGTAATATATTTTCGATCGGTTCTTACATTAAAATGTGCTTTGCTTTTTAATTGTCGTATAGGGAAACAGTTCCGTGCAGCTCCATGATTCGAGAATTCTAAAGTCTCTGATATTGATTTTATCGGTTTTGGTGTATTGAAAATATAGTTAGGTAGGATGATAGTAGGCATACGTGTTGAAAATAGAAATACGATTAGTCAGAATGATTAAAACAATGGTGCAATATTGTTCGGAGTAGTGTATATCGTGGTCATACACGTGTATGACCACCTACTACGTAGTAGGGCTTTAAGAAGCAGGAATGATCACGAAGAACATTTCCTATATTTATTGATAGTAAGTCCGTAAGGTAACTTTAAATCTTGAGTATTCTTCTAGCATCCATCAACCCTTAAGTATAACTCAATATTTTATTAAAGAAAGGAAAAACATAAATTCAGGTCTTCTTAAGCCTTAACTGCTGCTGTGGAACGTCTAGATTAAGTAGTGTTTGTTTGAGAGGTGGCGGAAATATATTCTATTAAGTTGTGTACTAAAATGCTTATCATTATAATTAAAAAAAAAATAGACAAAGATTGCCGAAACGAGACTTAAGTGACGACAAAATACATTAATCAGGAATTGAACACCTCCGTTCAATTATTTGTATTACAGTATTATTTAATCTAGATAACGGGGTAATGCGGCTTTTACTTGATGAAAATAAAAAAAAATCAGATTTTCACGAAATTATATATTTTTACATGACAATTGTTTCGACAACACCGTGTCTTTATCAAATGTGATTTGATAAAGACACGGTGTTGTCGAAACAATTGTCATGTATAAATATATAATTTCGTGAAAATCTGAACTTTGAGTTCTTATTTATTTTTTACATTAATCAAGCTTCAAACAGACATCTGCTTCAAAACGAAATACTCCTATTGGATAGGAAATGTCTAATTTTTGTGATGTGGCCAATAAAACTTTCTCAAGGTTCCAGGATTGCTCAAAGGTAGATTAATCATTAAAATATTGAGCAGACTTTGAGGTGTTCCTTGAGTAAGGTAGAGTGAACGTAATTTCAGAATGGGACACTCTCACGTTGACCGATTGGAGACGTCCGCGAACCCGAAGCTACTCAATCGCTTGCAGCGGGTGCCAGCGGCGGTGCAGAATTCATATTTATATCAATTTTTTTTGTGAGCCATATTTGTACAAATTGCTTGGAGATATAAAATAATCAATTGCAAAATATGAAGGATCAACCAACAGAACCCTAAAAGAAAAACACGTTCACATAAGAACACAAAATAGAAACACGCCACTGCTGGGATACGAAGACATTCAGTGGTTATCTAGGCAAAGCCGGCCGGCCGCAGCTGCAGCAATCGCCACGTGCTGTCCCATTCAACGGATTATCTTTAGAGACTTTAGGTACTATAAATATGAGCATTTCTCCACACCAAAAAGCACAACCAGTGGGCGTGGGTGGGGCGTATTAAATTTGACTGGATTTATGGGCTACAGTCATACCGTCTTCGGTTGGTATTGTCTATTGTGTATTTTCTCATACTTATTATTTATTTGGTTATTTGTGTATCAGATTCTTGGTCTCCTTCTTAGAGATGGGGAAGCAAAAATTTAACATAAAAGTATCTATGGATTTTGGCCTGGGTTTATGAAAAGTTAATTTCTTACGTGGTAATTTTTTTTTGCCTCCTTCGAGTTTAGTGAGGATAATTTACAGCGTTAATACAAGCAAATTAATTTCCTTTTTTTCGAATTAAAACAAAATCATTTGGTTTAACAGTCTCTGTTTCTGGCTTACCTTGACTTTTAACGCCATTTACGTGAAACTCAACGAGTGTCTCCCTGAAACAGTAACATTCCCAATAAAGGAAACAGGGTACACGGAGACGAAAAGCTTACAATTCCATAATGTCACTTTAGATTTTTTTGCGCCGAATCTTATTGACCAGATTGTTTCCTGGTTGTTATATGACTAAATCTTTTTTTATAAACAATTCAGCATGCGCGAATTGAATCTCATTTAGTTAAAATTGGCCTATTAGAAATAATAGTTTTAACCTTCACTTGTTAAGGATAAACACGTCCGATGCGTTTTCAAAATCTACATATTATTTGATATTTTCCCAGGTTGTTATGTTGGCTATACAAAATTGGAAATTAAAAAAAAATTCACAAGTATTATTTATTTAATTATGTTTTACAGTACTTTGTCGTGTTACACAAACGAAACTACATAAAATACGTTAGCGGAAAAAAAAAAGGGAAATTGAATTTATTTGGACCTTCTCGCAATTAAACACTATCACAGACTATTAAAACTTCAACTCTTTTTTATATAAACGTCTTAAATTCTTCAAATACTAAATATTTATATCTAAATAAAACTTTTCAAATAAACAATAATTATGTAACAAAGCTGAAGAAATGAATTTACAAAAATGAAGGAAATTAAATAAAAAGCAAAATCCATGGAAAATTCGAAAATATACTGAAGACTGTTAAAAGTTGAAATCGAAACCCTTAATTTTGCAGCTTAAAATATAGATTTTTGACATTTAATCGAAAGGTTCTCGATTTGTTCCGTGTAGTTGGTTTTACAATAGAAGCTTACAGTTACACTAAAATTTTAACATATGAAGAGTGTTGAAAACAGTAACAATCAACATTTTCAACACTCTTTACAATTGTCGATACCTAAAATTTTTTTTGTTTATAAAAACCACAGCCATATTAAAAAATTTACATCGGAATATTATAGACAAGTATAGATATACTTATATTATTTGATACAGTTATGTACAACTTTGTTTATTTACACTTAATTAGCGCTTTTCCTAAAAACGAAAAACACCTTCCAAAGAAACAAGCCAAAATTAAATTTCTTATTTTGTTAGAAATTACACGTAAATATATATATATTTTTAAATTTTTGATTTGTTCCAAGTCGCTTTACCGCAAGCGGACGACACGACGACGAATACCATTGATTTAAACGGATTACTGTGCAGCAGGTTATGCGGAAAATATCTAAAAAATTAAACCCTGCAGACGCAAAAATGACACAACACGAGTAACAGAGCTACAAGGGAAAATCTGTCTTCGAAATGCGCGGTTGCCGAATTAAGGTGGTTCGGAATGCCCCTTAGGCATTCGTCGTGTTCATCGAAATCCATTTTCGTTATTGCGCAATAATGGCCATAAATGCACTGGACGTCGCAGTTGTTGGATGTCCGCGAGTTGATTTTGACGGAGTTTGCTCTGTAGTATCTGAAAAATAAATTTATTGTTTTTACTTAGTATTCTGTTTTGTTCCTTGCGTTTGTATAGCCGCCCCAATATTATGATGGAGTTTGAGAATTGGGCAATATGGCGTAACCGCAATCATTTTGCTGAATCGTAATCAAAAGAAGACCTAGTTGTCGAAGAATATCGACAATAGAATGAATCAAAGAGGACGAGGCAAGACAAGTTAACCTCTAAGCTGAAAACAAAGCTTGTATTAAAACAATTTTAATCCTGACTACGATGTTCGCATTTATTTTGAAGATTACAGGTATTTAGTTGTAAAGCAATAAAAATTGTATACTGCGCAAACAATTTTAATAAACGACACTTTAGTCACGCGCGGAGTGAAGCGAAGCCATTACTTAATAAACCGGTGGCTGAAGAAGTTTTAGTTTGTTGCATGCTATACTTTTTCTGAGACTATTAGTTTCTGGGTATAGATTTAGAAAAGAGTACATACACACACATTGAGAGCTGACAAACGTAAAAGTACCTTTCGTGATTCAATTCTACCGTCGCTCTCAAACCTTTGCTTAAAGTCTTCTTATTTTTATTTTTATGACCCTAAATTTAATTTATTTTTTTTGTGAAATTAAATAAATTTAATGTATTAAGATGGTTCGAAGTTGCTTGATATACGGGAATTATGTAAGCTCTGTACTCTTTCACGATTTTCTGTGATTTGATAATTTTAATTTATAATAATAATAATAATAATAATAATAATAATAATAATAATAATAATAATAAAATAAACTTTTATGGTCTAATAGACAGATTCTGGCCAATTACGAGACAATGTTTTCGACATACCAGTTTTGCATAAAAATTAACATACTTAGATATACATAATGATAAGCAAAAGTAGATAAATGATAACAATGATAGTAGTTTATATGCAAATGCTACCAATGCGCGCACCCTCCCAGACTTCAAGAAGGAAAAGTTAGATCGCTTGAGCAGTCCTGTATGGACGCATCCCTGGGGTGCAAACCGATGGTCAGTTTGCACCAAAACTATGGTGGATTCTTTCTACTTTATTATTGTGCACCATATAAATGAGAGATCAATGTATAGAAGCATCACCATATTTAGACTTAACCAGGCAGTCATATAACCTGAATATGTCAAACTCTTGGGTAGTGAAAAAATGACGAAGTTCCTGATTGCGGACCGGCTATGCTCTCAATGTGCACGTTAAAATTTAGATCCGTATCAACATACACCTCAAGGTCTCTAACTATTCCACTGTGAGCCAGAGAAGTAACATCCATACAATGCAAGCAGGAAATTGGATTTAGTTTTCTGAAAAAGATAATCTTTTTGAATATTGAGCAGAAGGCCATTTTCCACGCATCCTGATGAGTGTAGTTATGTCCTTCTGCAGAGTCTTGCAGTCATTCAATGCACTTATTACCGTATACATTTTTAAGTCGTTCGCCAATAGCAGGATGTGATTTTGAATATTAGAGTCTATATCATTAATTAAAAACGAGAAGTTGCACTAGATTAAAAGACTTGAAGCCGCTCTGATGTATATATGATGTATGATGTATCGACTTGTAATTTTTTATTTAGGCTAGTCTGGACATAGTGAAAAAAGATTTGCAAATGTCGATCTATACGTATCGAAATCAGGCTGATGTGTTGAGATGATAATTAATTATAGGCGTTTGTCGCCTGATTTAAACAGGACAAAGTCTGTTGATAATGAAAGATTAGAAAGAAAGCCAAGAATTTGCACTAGCATACGGGTAAAGTCACTGATGATAAATGAAGGTATATTATCCTGCCCGGTCATTTTAGATTTAAATTTTGTTTACAGAGATAGTTCATTATGGTGAATAATTGTGTTCCTAGCAGAGGTGGGAGCATATACGCTCGAGAAGAACGCGGCAAAGCGATCAATAGTGTCTTATGCTGTACAAACTTCCAAAAATTATTGGGGTCATTACTTATAGAATCCTATACCAGATGTACATATTTTTATGTTATGCTTAATGGAGCTTCTAAGGGTCCTAGACTCAGTAACAGAATCATGCGAACCAATCCGCTTCCAGCCCCTACGCAATCGGGATTTTCTGCGTATATCGCGGATATCCTGTGTGTACCAAAAAAACATCGATAAAAAATTGAGTACAATAGTAGATATCGACTGCACAATGTCGACCGATCACAACGTAATAGCATAGCATATAATAATGAGAACTTGGCTTTGCGAAAATTGTATCGCTTGATTTTCCCATCAACAACAATATTGCGTTTGGGAGAACTACAGAGAACAGACGCAGCGAGTCTTGGATGGTACGGGTCCTCACCACCAAGAAACAAAAGATCGATAGAAACTTCACACGAAGTGTTACTACCTATTTAAGATAGTGGTTATTTGTTGTGCATTTAAATAATCAATTATTATTATTATTGTTATTATTTATCCAATTAACAGGCACTTGCAATAAAATGGTTGTCCATTTGACGTTGTATTGGAAACTAGATCATCCACGTTACTCGCATTAGGAAATATACTATTGAAAATGTGCAAATTGGAATATCATCTAATGCTGCATTTTCCCACCAGCGCATCAATAATTGAAAAGTTATTTGCATTCGCAATTAATGTTTACCGTCGACGTTATTTATTATGTACGGTCGAAAATAAATTATCCGATATTAAAAATAAATCAAATAGGATTACAATAATGATCAAACAAAAAGCTGTTTGTGGCGTAAACGATTCGCTAAAAAGCGTATAATATTTGATTAAATGTTTTTTTGTTAAACCCAACGTGTGTTCTAAATTCTGTTTCGGGAATTTTCCGGAATTATTACAATGTAACGTATTAAAGTGATTAATACGATATAAATTGATCTACAATAGCGGCAAATTTATTATTGTAAAACATTAGTTTGACGTTGAAAATTGTGAAGAAAATAATGAAATTAAAACAAAATGTATTTACAACCTGATAGGTAAATAAATTCAAGTAAAATTTTTAGTACTAAAAATATTTTCTTCTCCCCACTACAAAATACCCAATTATGAACGATCGAGCTTGGGCAAAACCTTCACTACGTTAACTACGATCGCGAGCCACTTCCAACAGTTGCAGTACTTTAGTCACGGGTCTGATGTTTTCGGATGATTCTAGCCATGGTATTTTGACATTTGTCAATTGATGTCACATAGCACTGAGTGAATATCACGTTGATCAACTTCTTCTTATTAACACTCGCTCCGCTTGTGCGAAATTAAACTAGTGCCTAAAGTGCCTAATATACTGTTAAGAAAAGTGGTCATTCATTTTGAGGTATGCTTACTTAAATGTATCTTATTTCATCCTTTGAACCGTTCACATTTTGTTACTGAGGAACAATTCTAATAACAACTGTCTTTCATGCAATCCATAATTTTCTCAGGTTGTAATGTGGGCTATACAAGATTGAAAATTAAAGAAAAAATCACAAGTATAATTTATTTCATTGTTTTACAGTTGTCGTGTGTGTGTGTGTGTGTGTGTGTGTGTGTGTGTGTGTGTGTGTGTGTGTGTGTGTGTGTGTTGTCATTAGCGGAAAAAAAGAGAAATTGAATTTATTTGGATCTCCTCGCAATTAAACGCTATCACAGACTATTAAAACTTCAACTCTTTTTTATATAAACGTCTTCAATTCGTCAAATACTTAATATCTATATCTAAATAAAAACTTTTTAAATAAAAAATTATTATGTAACAAAGCTGAAGAAGTGAATTTTGTTATTCAGGAACAATTTTAATAACAACTATGTCTTGCATGCCATCCATAATTTTGTTTTTAGAAGCCAAGCTAAGCTAATTTTTAGTTAAAAAAATCTAATCGCTGTGGAAATATGTTTTTCTACTCCCATCTGTAAAATATGCGTGCGTCCCTTTACCACGTCAGTTTCCTTTCCCATGAATCCGAGCCACTTCGCACATTTCCGGGATTTTACCCCACGGGTTTGGAAGCAATCGGATGTTTATTAAACACTCGCTCCGCTCGTGTCAAATAAACTCGTGAGTCAAATGCTCTTTACCGCACTTGTTGCATAATATACTATTCTCCAAAAGCCGGATAGCAAAATGTCATTGTATTTAAAAATTGTAAAGGAATTGAATTGTCTCATTTTTTTACACTTTTTCCTAGATTAAAAAGGTCCAAGTGTAAATTTTGAGTTAAATATTGGATCTGTCCAGCGTACTTACTCTTAAGAACTGTACACTTTTGTGAAATCTTTGTTTATGGATCGATTTTGATAATTTTTTGTTGTTGTTGTTGTTGTTGTTCGACAGATCTCTCAAAAATGCACTTAAACCTTGAGTTGCTTATTGCTTCAAATTAAAGTCATGGCCAACTTAGACTATTCAACAAAACAGAGAGAAGTACTATTAGGGATTAAAAAAAATAAATAAATTGGCAGCGAATTCTTATTCAGAGTATTTATAACTCAAAAATACAAATTTCCATAACGTTTCAGTATTTGAAATATCGTTTATGCCCCGCTTAAGGTCGTACATCGTTATAAAATATTTGATTGCGGTTTGCATTTGATAACTATTTTTTGTTGGATATATCCCTCAAAAACGCACTAAAACCTAATGTTTCTTTTTACATCAATCTAAAGTCATGGCCAACTGGGACTAATTTTGATATGTGATTTTAAGATCCTACAAATTTGAATTATACAAATTCCAAGAATAATGGTTTAAAAATATTTTTTAATAGATATTTATTTTTTAGTTTCATCTTAAAACAAAAGCAATATTATTATTAGTATTATAGTATAAAGTCTGTTTAGTTCATTTCTAATCGTCTCTATATTTAATTTTACGAACATCGTTAGAGTCTTTCAGTGAAATTTGTCCAACAAAAAAAGAATTATCATAATTGAGGCATAAACAAACATTCAACAGGAGTAATGCTTAAACGAGACGCCCGCGATATTTCGAGCACCCTGTATTTGAACTTCATGGAAATTAATATAGTTAGATTTTATGTAGTCCTAAATAAGAATTCGTTGCCACTTTATTCTTAAAAAAATCTCTAATAGCCCTTCCCCATATTTGACATCAAACATTAGTCCCAAACTTCAGGTTCATGTAATAAGAAACATAAGGCTTAAGTGCGTTTTTCCAACAAAAAAAAGTTATTTTTTTTTAAATATTTTACAAAGATGTACAGCTTTAAGCGGGGCGCAGACGATATTTCAAACACCCTGTATCGAAACCCTATAAAAATTGTTATAGTTAGGTTCTAAGGACCCCTGAATAAGAATTCGTTGCCATTTTTTTTTTTAAATCCCTAATAGTACTTCTCTCCACTCTCTCTTTTGTTAAATAGTCCCAGTTGGCCATGACTTGAAATTGAAGCAATAATCAAAACAAGGTTTTACTGTATTTTTCAGAGATCTATATAACAAAAAAAAATATCCAAATCGAACCATAAACAAAGATTTTACAAGGTTGTTCTGTTCTTAAGTTTGACACACTGTATATAAATATAAAATTAAAACTGTTTGATAATCTGGCACAGTCACATATTAATAGTAGTTTACTGTTTCAGAAGGATTTGAACATACAACTTTCGAAAACACGAATCATATCAGATTTGGATATGCCGATTCAAAATGGCAAAAGAAAGATATCAAATGAATTTCTTTATATTTCTATCACAAACTGAATACTCGTAGTACCTAAGCATCGCACTTATCAAGCCTCTAAACTCTTTAATAAGCAAGTGTCGATGACAGATGCTCCAATGTGACAGGTACATTAAAAACTTGTTCAATGATCAGAGAGTAGAGATAAATGCTGTTACTGAAGAACAAACGGGGCCTACGATTCTGAAAGAAGAGGTAAATTGGGCAATAGAGACAACAAAATGTGGAAAAGCGCTGAGTCCGGACGAAAGACATGTGGAAGTGTTGAAGCTGATTGAAGAGCAACGTTTGGACTCTAGAACAGCACTATTCAACAGAATATACATAACGGGGATCATACAAACGGAATGGCTAGAATCGACCTTTGTTACAATACCCAAAAATTCAAATGAAAAAAGATGTGATGAATAACGTACAATAAGCTTGATGAGTCACACAGTAAAAGTATTTTTGAAGATTATACATCGCAAAGTATTTCAGATAACATCTCGGATACCCAGTTCGGTTTTAGAAACAGATACAGTACTCGGGACGTCAATCAGGAGGTTTACGCCTACTTCATAGACGTTTGATAAAGTGAGGCATAACCGGTTAGTAAAAGGGCTAAATCAGAAAAACCTGGATTCGCGAGACATCAGGATCAATGCCAACCTTTTCTTCAATCAGAAGGCAACAGTACGAGTGCAAGAAACGATGGCTAACCCTATAGAAGCCAAACGGGGCGTAAGGCAAGGCTCTCGCCGCTTTTATTCAATATCTACTCTGAAGAAATATTCACCAGAGCCCTTGTATGCGATTCGGGAGGTATCTGAGTAAATGGCAAGATAATTTATATCTTGCGCTACGCGGACGACACTGTGCTTCTTGCTGAAAATATGCATGATCTACAAGAACTGCAAGTCGACACTTTGGTTTGACTCATAACACAAAGAAGACCAAGTACCTGAACATAAGAAAAAACAACGCCTTACAAGAACACCTTTATGTAGACGGAGAACAATTAGAGCGGATTACAAAATATAATTATCTGGGTACAAATATCACATGTACCGTCGATTACTGTTCCGAAATCAAGATTCACATAGAGAAAGCACGTACAGCATTTGTCACAATGAAAAAGATGCTCTGCAGCCGCGACCTGAGCCTATATCTACGCATGATCAGTGCTATACTATGGAGTAGAAATTTGGACCCTTAACAGAGTGTACGAACGAAAAATAGAGGCATTTGAGATGTGGACTTATAGAACAATGCACAGAATATCGCGGATGGAGCATACGACCAACGCAGAAGTGCTTATCAGGATGAACAAAGAGTTAGAGCTGTCGAAAGAAGTGAAAAGGACAAAGATCATCTATCTTGGTCACATAATGCGGGGTCCAAAGTATGAGCTGCTTCATTTGATAATCCAGGGAAAGATTGTGGGTAGAACATCAATTGGAAGAAGAAGAATATCCTGCAATCTGCGAGAATGTCTTCTGCAGATCTTTTCAGAGCGATAGAGAGAGAGAGGGGTTTCCAAGGTCAGGATTACCATGATGTTAGCAAACCTCCGGAATGGAGAAGCGACGTGATGAAGAAGATGACGCCCCAACCTTTTCTGCATTCCATGAAAAATTAATTATGTTTTATTATTCTTCTTAGAACAATTATTTTTTATTTTTATTTCAATATTGAAATTTTCTTAGTATTTATATAAGCAACGATGCTGATTGATGGTTAAATATATTAATCCTTTCCTACGCTGTTTCAATTTTTGGACATTGTGCAAATTTGCGCAATTTGCTTTTCAAGTATATTCACAAAACAGCTACATCGAGCCTAAAATTTGCCAATTAAGTTCTTCTTTACATCTCAATGTTTAGGCTATCGGCAATAATAACTATACAATAAGCGACGTGCGCGAGAAGCGGAATAATAGGAGTACAATACGTATTATTAATCTTGATTAAAACGGTAATGTTTACTTAATTAATAATAGCAGTTAAGACTGGTTCTAAGCCGCATCGGTTGCACGGTTGCGGTGGCTGAAAATTGAACGTGCATCAAACATTACAACTTACTTATTGAACAAGCTATTGTTGTCGGTAACACTATCCTGGGTCGGTTGGGTCAACTTCTCCGCCAGACTATGCAAATTCGCCGGATTTATGTCGCTAATACCGTAGTAAGTGCTGAAGTTATATTCAACGACCCATTCGGCTTTGCCATTGAAATTTGCACTGGACAGGTCCAGGTAGTATTGGCAGTAATCGAACACCTGCAATCAAATATTATGGTTTTAGATATCGCTATAAATATACTACAGACATCTCGTTTCTATTTCAATTAAGCTTCCAATTTTACTATGAACCCTTGCTATATTTTTAGGTAAGTATAATACCACCAAAAATATAGTGCACTTATTGCTTTGACGTCTTAAGTATTTTACAGTACCTTAACAGATGTTTATTCTGCAATAAGTAGGTCTTGCCTGAGATGGACCGTAAATAATCTACGAGGCTGTTTCCACTGGATAGTTCGAATGGTAAGGAAAAGTACCTGTACTCTATTTATCTTACAGGTAACTTTGAATATAATTTCACATAGTTCTTCGCTTTTTAAACAAAAAAAAATTGGAAAGCAAAATAGGTCAATAGGGTATTTAGACGAAAGGTGGTTCAGCACTAACGATACAGTAAAAAAAGGATGGTGTGATAACAATAACAAGTGTGTATTAGATGTCCCGCCTTCACATGGAAAACGCATAATAATTCTTGATGTTAGGGCCAAAAATGGTTCGGTGGAAAATGCTTTATTTGTTTCTGCAAACAACATCAAAGGACTACCATGAAAACATGACCGCCGAAATATTTGAGGACTGGTTTGAAAATAAGAGACTGATACTTTATTATTAATATATTTAATATTTTGTATATTAATAATTATACTATCTAGAAATATAATGAAATACTTATTTTGTATATATAAAATAAATTACTTAAATACTTACTTTGTACATATTTTCTTGTGTACATGTTTCAAGAATTGTTCGGCGAAAAAGATTGAAAACATATTTTTATAGTACGTATCACGAGGTCGGTTGTAAAAGCACTATATTCCTGGTGCAAGTATATCAAATTCTTCAAGAGAAAACGAAGTCAGCTTAAATATTATTTATTTATTTTATCAGACAAATTATCTTCCGAGCTAATGGATATGTAATAATGAATAAAGAAATAAAATTAGCGGCCATTGTTGGAATATTCAAAGAAACAAAGAGGTTTATTCTACCATGCAGGACTGAAATTAAAAACAATTTCAGGTGTAAACAAGTACAAGTCCGTCTCTGTATACATTTCATTGTTCGCTGTGTATACTGGGTATGATAATAAGAGCAACGCGGTGGGGTATTAGGAAAACGGATGATAATAGAAATTTCAAAAGAAAAAATTATTAAGTAAATTGGACAAGAGAAAGTGCTGATATTATTTTTATATGGTCACCACAGGGCGTAATTGTTATCTTGAACTTCAGAACTTAGATAAAATGTGCAAATATATGCCGTTTCTAAACGAAGTATTACAGTTCGAATAAATGTTAGTTTCATTTATATATTTTATATTTTTTCCTGGGCAGTGCCTGGGTTATTTTTATACACTCGGTGTTTAAGAGTACCCCATAAAAAATTCAAGCGGAGTTAGGTCTCGGCTCCTTGCGGACCAAGGATAATAGCGGTGTCGAACAATCGTTCCCTATACCATGTAATTAGATAGTTTTCTATGGCAGCATTATAGTTGTAAGGCACCATTTGGTGCCAATTTAAATTTGGTACTGAATCGTCAAATGAAGGTTTAATATCGCGTAGCAATTGAAAACGCCGCCGGGAATTTAAAACACCTTCGAAAATTCACTGAAATTCTACCCGACTTATTAATTTCAATAACCTTTTTCTTGCTTTTTCGACTTCAATAATGAGTGTTTTTTCAGTTGAATATTTTAACTGAAGTAGCGAATGTAGATTCGTCAGTCCAAATAATGTCATCAAAAATATTTTCTTGTAAATTTCAGTCCATAAAAATATTGTAGTACTGTAACCTGACATTAAAATCGGACTATTCAAGTTTCTGCACCAGCGTGTAGAGTTTCCATTTATTTATCACAAGGCAAGATTGCAGCCTTGATCTTTTAATATTGAGATCCAAAGAGGCTTGTGAAAATTTTTAGACAACAGAATTTTATTTTTGTAATTCAGGCTTTTCTCACTCCTAAAGTAACGGTAGATTTTGTAGTATGTCTTTTTTGCAGGAGTTTGCCTCAATGGAAATTTATTAACGTTGTTTTTGAGTTTCTAGTACAACTTCACTTTTATTGCTTAGTAAATGACATGCTACAATATTAATTGTCTCTTCCAGGGTAAAAATTATGAAGAAAGAGTAATAAAGCAAAATAATTTATGGTCTTAATACTGGATGAAGGAAACGTCATAAAATTATTGACTACTACAAGAACAATTATTACAGAATCGACGCTGCATGTTTGAAATTCTAAATTCAACATGATGTTTTAAGATTCGCTGCAGTTATTTTAGGGGTGTATTCTGAAACCAATTTTATTTGGAAAATAAGCCCCCTACATATTATATATCGTTAAATTCGCCTGTCACTGGTCTATCTGGACATAGCATATTATACTGCAGGAAGTTTGATACCACTTAAAGGACAAGAGTATATTTTTTCATACGTAAAGAGAATTTCAAACAAGATACCTTAGATAACCTTTATACATCGTTGAACTCCTTTCGAAGGTCCTTTTAAATAAGTATTAATATACAGGGTGTTCCATTTGAAATCCTGCATCCAAGCAACTTTTGTATTTAACTTTATGTTCAATCTCTTCTACCTCCTGAGATAAATTTCAATTTCTAGATTACAATGAACTTGAAGAAGCTTTTCCTAGGCTATAATTTTTGCTATGTGTGACATTGATTGCTACCAGCTGGCGCGGATAACAACAACCGAATGTAAATAGAAAAGAAAAATATAAAGTTACTCAACGACTATGTTGTTTTACTTTTCCATCATACTAAATGCCGACAATTACATGGAATGTGATAATTTGATGGTTAATTGCAACATGGAAGCGATTTTAGAGTGAGACTGCGAGAAACTTCGCAGGTTATGAATCTCTTATACGCCCGGTTTCAGGCGATAAGTAAATACATCGAAATCCGCAGGATGCCGCATTTAAATATAGTCGCCATTTCGCTACGGGAAACGGAAATAGGAATTCTGGTTATCGGTATCCTGTTTGAAGTTCTCTGCGAAACACCTTTATAGCTTCGGAACATGCCGTAAACACTAAAGGCGCCGTGTTGGAAAGTCCTTTGTAGCGCAATTTAGAAATTGAATTCTCCAGGAAAATTACTATAAATATAAAAGGATAAAATAAAAGTTGTTGCTGCATTGTAAATTTAATATTTTATCGAAGATCGTCAGCAGTTTCAGCGAACGTGACAAAGGGTGAACCCGTTTATAATAACGAACTTGAGCTGGAGTATCCTGAAGTAATACGTAGTCATCAGGGCTGTCAGGGGCAGGCTTACACCGGTCCGGACGGCAGAAGGACATACAGAGGTGATTCCAACGGATATGATTCATACAAATAATTAAAGAAATTGTTTGGGGAGAAAAGCTACCACGTAAATCATAAATGGGAGAACTTGGTAAGAAAATAAATTTGCAAAAGAATACAGAGTGAATTCAAAAAAGACCGTGCTTAAAATTAATAATAATATCTTAAAAACTAAAAAAAATAATTGCAAAAGTGGTGAAGAGAATGTAGTGCAACTTATTATCAAGTTTTCAAAATGTTCACCAAAGAGCGTAACCGTTATCATTTCAGAAAAACGTTTTTATCCGATTTTTTTACGAACTAAAGAGAGCTAAAAGGCACGTACATTTTAAAAGAGAGACAAAACTTTTGAAAAAAACTTTTTTCTCTATCCATTTAGGATCAGTAACTTTCTTTCTTCGATATTTTTGTAAATTGCCACTAGAGAGCGATTTTCGACGTAATTAAAAATAAGTGTTATTTCCTAAAAGAAAATATGCAAAATTTGACTTCTCTTTTATAACAAAAGATATCTTTCTAATCTGAAATATAAGGAAAATAATTTAAAACCCGAAAAAAAAACAGACTGGGAGATATTTTGCAGCACACAAGTTCTAATTGTCTTTATTCTAAGAAAATGAAAGTTATTTACTGCTACAATATGGACATGACTGTTAAAATCGCAATAATAATTCATATTCATTCAACACATTAGAGCTGGGGTCCATTTAAAAGCGAATTTCTAGCTTGGTAAGATGATAATTATGGCGATGGTCGCCAGTTCTTATCTTTTAGTTATGAGGACGCTTTTTGCGGAAGACCTAATTTGCTCTAATTTTACAAAAGCACCAAATCGGCTACATTTAGGTTGAAACCGCGTTGCCTTAGCTTAACTTGTTTCTTTTCGAGTTATTTGAAAATAGGTATTTTTGGATTTAAAAAAGTTTATTGCCGTTTTGTCGGGCCGTGAAAAGTTGGAAATTATAATTTTTGTTTGAAGATGTGAACGTTTTGTTAAAAACAATATTTTTCAGTTTTTTAGTTTGTTTAAATATTAATACTGATGGTTACAGTGACAATTACAAAAAAACAATTACAAGGCACATCGGTAGGCTGCCGAAATTTTTAATAAGAAGCACCCAAATAAACTTATTAGCCACGTTATTGTACGCAATGTCGTCACCAAATTTAAAAATACTGGATCTGTCCAAAATATTTTCAAGGAAAAATATCCCATTCGAAAATTTAATGAAGAAAATCAGTTATAAGTGTGTGCAAGCCGTTGTCGAAAATCAAAAAAAATTCATTGGAAGGAGTGAATAATCGCGTTTCATATTATATAGACGACTTTTTCTTTTCAAGGAGGACTTTATTTAGTGGAGAAGTAACATTTACTTCTATAGATTTTTGCTTCTGGAGACATTTGAAAGAGTCAGTTTCGAACCACAGATAACCTGGAAAAAATTAGAAGAGAGTATATCCGACAAATTACTCCTTGGAAACGCTACGTCAGAGTTCTCTAGAAGGGCAATCATTTTTATTCAAAAAGCCGAGCAGCATATGGAGACCTAATTTTTCGAATCATTGAACTTGTTATTGTCAAATTTGAAGTTGGTCACATCATAGAAATTAGAGCTCTCGAAATACAATTTTCATCCACTATAAAAGTAATTCTCTATAATATTGTTTTTACTGAGTTAATTGTTTTTTTTTCAAACCACCCTGTATCTTCAACGTACAAATTTACTTGTGCAAATGAATTTTTTCACCAGGACCCTTCGTAAAATTGTTAATTAAAAATTTTCTCATTTTGTAAGGGCTTCCTCAGATATGCAGTGCCTAGAAATTCATGTGATATTTATTTGGTTGTGCATCATTTTATATTTCTGTGTTTAGTAGAGATGCATTCCTATAATTATTGTTATTCGTGGGTTAGGTAATATAGGTATTGTTATTCTACTTACTTGTCCAGTGTCTTTATCGAATTTGTATAGTCTCAATCCGGGGTTGTTCGGGCCATCGTGAGTTCGTTTCGGAGTCACTGACGGCGCTAGCATTGCCCAGGACACAGGGTTTTCTGAAATCAGAGAACATGATAATATGGCGGTTATATGTTTTTTGGTTAGTTTTGTTTACATTTATCATTTTTGTCTGACATTAAGTAACTGATTTTTGAAAAGAATATCAAGTGGAAACTTTATATTGTCATTTGCTATATACAATCATCATTGTCTACAGCAAGAGAGAACTGGAAAAAGCAGATATAAAATAAAGCAGAGACAATCATGTGCACTTGTAGTCTATCTGTAGTCTTTATTGGAAAACGTAACAATATCGATTAAGGAAAAAAGGTGTTGTACGAGGGCAGCGCCAAAATTTCCCGGCCTGAATATGAAAGAAACAAAGTAGAGTAACAATTTTTTATAATTTTTCAATATTATCCCCCTTAACTTCAATACACTTGTTACATATTTTCATTAACAACTCAATACCTTTAAAAAAATATTCTTTTGGTTTGTCTGCAAAATGAGCTAAAACAGCCTCTTGAACCTTAACTTCGTCGTTAAACCGCCGTCCACGTAAGTCCTTTTACAAATAATAGTCGCTGGAGCCATAGCTGTACTTTAGGGAGGATGATCTATTTGTTGGAACCCCCACTCTAAAATGGCAGCTTGTGCAACACCAGCAGTATGGACAAGTGCATTATCGTGTAAAAGACGCACGCCTCTGGTCAGTTTTCCTCGACACGTATGCAGTCTCGCAATTTATGTAATAATGTTGCGTAATATTCACTATTGACAGTGGTGATTAGTTTCTTTAAAATCTATCAAAAGAATTCCTTCACAATCCCAAAAGATCGTGGCCATCAACTTTTTTGTTGATTGGCGGACTCTGAATTTTCTTGGAGGTGTTTCACCCTTGCGACGCCGCTCCATTGATTCTTTTTTCGATAGAGGGTCATAATAGAGAACCATAGTTTCATCTCTCGTCACAATAGGCTCTATCACAGGCTTCGGTTCTGACCCACATAGTTCCAAAAAAGACCGCGCACACTCGACACGGCGTTGTTTTTGAATAGCCGAAAGGTTTTTAGGAACCCATCGTGCACTAACCTGATGCATACCTAAATGATCATGCTGGATTCGACGAACACTTGTATTAAAAAGTTTAGTAATTTCTGAGATTTCCTTAACCTTTAAACGTCGTCACTCTTCCCCAATCGCAACAATATCTTCCGTTATGACTTCCACTGGTCGATCAGTTCTTGAATCATCTTCAAGGGACTCCTGCCCCATTCGAAAACGTTTTGCCCATTCTTTCACTATAGAATACCAAGGAGAACTTTGGCCGTACACACCATCCAACCTTTCTTTAATAATTTTAGGTGCTACTAAGATACATATTTAAAAGAAGACAAAGTTTTATCGTGATACTGGAGCTGCATCTATGTCAGGCCGGGAAATTTTGGCGCTAATCTCGTAGGTATCAGTTTTCCTCAAGTTTCTTAAAATTTACCTGGAAATGCTGCTCTCAAATTTTATTATAAAATTGAGTATTCTTGAGTATTACAAAATTCTACTTTCTTGAAGTCCTAGATACAAATTCTGAGTAGATTTTCAAAGATCATATGTCCTGATAGTGAGCTTTCAGAATCCTTTCAATACATTTTCAGTGCACTGAAAACTTTTTTACTTTCTTAGAAATAATAACTGATCACAAACTAAATGATGTTTTTCAAAAAAATTTGATTGTTCGGCATTATTGGGGTCCAATAAACAAAATGAAAATAATTAATATCGACATCCAGGGTTCATAATTCAAATTTCACTTTGCTGTTCCATTTGACATTGCGTAGACTACGCTGAGTCGATCGAAGTTATTAAATATGCCGAAACTTAAACTAGTCTATCGCGACGTTAAGTCTCTGGATTTGGTTTAGTAGGTATTAAGACCGTTTAAACTTGTAAGCAATCCTCAAGGATTTAAGGGAAAGTTTTAACGGACGTTATTGCACGGGGGCGGCGCGGGAGGGGCGGGGTGGTCCGGGGAAACGCGTTTTCCGTCGGACTTGTTTCGCCAGACGGTGTACGAAGATTACCGGAAAGGACGGCAGATGGCGAGCTTCCAAAGTTTTAAAGTTGATTCGTTCGAACAACTGTTATCAGGGATTGCGTTTCCACTTAGATTAACAATTCGCGGTAACAGGTTATTACGTGGGATTTCTTAAAAATATCACCGCAAAATATTGTGCGCAGGTAATTTTACTATAAATACGTGACCTGCCGAATAACGGTTTGTCAGTGCAAGGCAGAAATACTTTTTGTGAAAGTTTTGGTGAGCAAACACAAGATGTGAAGATAAAGTGAAAACTTATATGTAGGAAAAAATTTTGCATCTTTTTTAGTAGTAAAAGAATTTTCCTGAGATCTGAGAAATTTTTGAAATCCCTTCAGATATTTTTCTTTCTTTTGAAATAAAACCGTAAGTAAAATATCAGTTTCCGCCATGTTTCTGGAAGTAGAGAAGGTAGTCCACAATGAACTCACATCAAGCACGGCAGTAGGAAAATAATGAAATCCCAAGTCAAATTGCATTTATCCCCGACAATTTTGCAAATATTGAACAATAATTTCGACAATTGGGCCTAATTAGGAATTTCATTTCGCTGCAGTTCTGGCAACGGCACGCGGGATTCTAGATATAAAGGAACCCCCCAAAGCCGGAATCCGTGATTAATTGATACGGCCTTTGATAGTATTCATAAAATCCGGCATGCAACACGCACAAATTGAATGCAGTTGATAAATTACGAAAGTAATTCGCAGACTCTAAATGTATGCAGGAGACCCAAAACAACGCTCGATGTTCCCTTTATTCGTCACGGTCGTAACCAATCACGTTATAAAAGGAAACGCAACAAGTCATTCATAAAATTTGTGGAAACCTCGTTGAAAATCTACCGCCAACCGCATACACGCGTTTATGGATGGGAAGCGGCTGAATGTTGCGATAGAATGTATTATACATAATTTGGGCCTTTCACTTATTTCTCTGACATCACGCCTGGATTCTAACATATGTTACTGTGAAAGACCGAAATTAGTGATTGTTGCCATACATGGGTTAATATCAATAGACACCAAATGAATTGGTGAAAGACCGAACAATTATTGCTTTTATTATAACTTCGGTCCTTCATCGGTGTATGTCGACAAACACATATAATATTCACCACAGGTTCCAAAAGGTTTTTGTGCATTTTTTTCGCATCGTTTTCGTGTTGGCTTTTCGCTAGTCTTATATAGTAATATAATTTGTACTCGATGTGATGAACAGTGATAAACAAAAGTTAATTGTGCCATTAAAACCAGGAGAAACGAATATCCAGTATTATGTTACAAACGAAGAGTTGTTTAATATACTTTCCAAAAGTCACATACGAACAGGTCATGGAGGAAGAACACTAATGCTTAAAGAATTGCAAGTTAATTACAAAAATATACTTGTGAAGTCATAATGCTCTATTTAACTTTGTGTAAACAATCACAAATGAAACAAAGTGCGCCTAGAAAGAGTATTATTGTGAAACCAGTTAAACTCTAGATGTCAAGTCGATTTGATAGGCATCACACAGCGATGATGATTATGAATTTATGATTTACCAAGATTACTTGACCAGGTTTGTCCAGACACGACCATTAAGAACCAATAGAACGGAAGAAGTAGCATATCACTTTCTTGATTTTTTTAATATAGCTGCTATCATATCTGAACTATGCACTATGTGGAAAGCTATTAAAATAGTGCACAGAATCCCTCATCACAGCCACACGCAAAGCTCAGTAGAAAGAGCCAATCAGGATCTACAAAATATGTCAGCTGCGTCGATGCACGTTAGCAATTGAAATAAATGGTCAGAAGGGTTGTCGTTTGTACGATTCGCCAAAAACGCAACTTACGCCACAGTCTATATGAAGTAAACTAAAAAAAGACAGAGCATCGCCATCTCTCCCCAAAGAGTAAATTACAAATATTGAAAGCTAGGACAAGCTAAAAGCATACGTTATTATTGATAATACCTATTGATGACCATGTTTCAGATGTAAGTGAAATGGATGAGCAAAATAGCATTTTGGGCCAGTCCAATTTCACCTCACGTATTAACTAATCCGCAACCCAGGACGTCCTTATCTGAAATGGCGACTGATCTACAACCCAGCACGTATTCAACTCGAACATTGCGCCTTCATCTCAAGTGCTGAGTAAGTAGCACGAGCCTGTTAATTCAAAAAGAATAGCTACAAAAGAGGACGTACTACTTCAAGAATGTTGTGAATTTCGAAACAAAGTTTCCCTAATCCGTCGTCAGCCGCGGTGGGTTCACCGACATGTGCTAGCCATTGTTTTTTGAATAGAGGATTAAGACTTTCATAAATTAGCAAAGAAAAATGAAATGAAATGAAAAATGAAGAACACAAAAGAGCCTTACGACTAAGACAAATAAACTCATCGGCTATTGCACACAATCACGATAAAACTGAAATTCTTGCATGTAATCAATTCTTCTACCAACGAAAAATCCGAGAGTCTAGAGAAATCTATAAACAACCTAAGAATCTTAACCACGACTCAGGTCTTTATCTGTCACCAATATGGGAATCAGTCATCCGAGACGGTGTTTATACCCCTCATTTAACTCCGCTCCCCTCAAACAATATATAAGCAGGCACAGAGTAAAGTGCGAGCCAGTTGCAGTCAAGCTCTGAAGAAGCCAACAGAATGATTGGCGAGAGGTCAGTAAGTTCGACTCAGCGGAAACCGGCGCAGGAGGCATCCAGAAATTTTGTAAAAAGTAAAAATGAAAAAATTAAAAATGAAGCAGCTTTTCACTCGTAATCAATTTGAAATTTACAAAGAAAAGTTAATATCCCTGGATGAGATTTTAGCTCAAGAAATTTCGGTAAGAGAAACAGGCTCTGCAAATTCAACAAATGGAGGACAAGGCTATACGCACTAAAACTGCAAAAAGATAAGTTCTAGCTCAAAATGTAGCTGTAAAAAGAAGAGTCTTTTGTGTAATGGAAAGCTAGCTTTAGTTGCATTTTATAATATTTTTTTATAATATTTTATTAATATTAGATCGGTTGTGTTTGTTTTAAGTTCAACAACTTCACGTTCATTTCAAAACTTATTGAAATAATGATATTTGATGAATATATAGTACATTTGCCAAATAATTTGGTGAATCAAAGATGTTAGGCTTTCACGGCCAGAAACTACATTACTAAATATTTCCGGGCTTTTGAGCCGTGGTCCCGAGATTAAATTCGACGTTTCGTCTACAACTGCGGAAGACATTTTCAAGAGCGGCGATGCGGTAACGGTCGAAGTGTTCTTCCGTACTGCTCTCCGATGACTGGTTTGTTGACTGGAAGATCTGCCGTATTTAAGCGCGCTGTAGTGGGCGTGACCTCGGTGGCGGGCTTGGGTTGAACTTGTCTGGGTAAACACGTTGTTTTGTTGATGACCTGAGTCCATGTTTTACTGATATTGAGACCTTCTTCTTTTCTATTGAAATTATTCTGATGTTTTTGAATTTCAATAGCTTCTCTGAAAAGACGTGGATAAAAATGTGGTGTTTTGTCCAGTACCTGCGTGTCTTTGAACATGATACGATGGTCACCTTTGTCAAAAGCATGTTCTGCCACTGCTGATTTTTCCGTGTGTCCAAGTCGGCAGTTTCTTTTATGTTCCGTTAGTCTAGTTTCAATGCTTCTCTTTGTGGTACCTATATATACCGAGCCACAGGAACACGGAATGCGGTATATCCCTGGTGAAGAAAAGGCGTCCCTTGTATCCTTGGCAGACCTGAGGCTTTGTCTGATTGTAGTCGTTGGTTTAAAGACGACCCGAACGTTGTGTCGTTCTAAATGTTTACCGATCCTGTCTGTGACGTTCTTAATAAAAGGAAATGATACCTTCCCTTGAGGTTCCTCTGTCGTATCTCTTGTCAAGTGCTGTGTACTCTTTCTTTAAGTCTGTTCCAGAATTGTTATTATATCCATATCTAAAAGGCCGCTCGCATGTATTATGAGATTATAGCTTTGAACATATATACATTGCAAAACTGAAACCAACAGTCTCGACATTAGTATCCCCGGGCAGAGGTATTTCTGTTTTCTTGATATCAGTTGGAGCTCCATATATTTGTTCACGCTTTTAGTATTCAGTAAGTCCAACCAGAACGCGTTAATATTGTTTTCGTGGGCAGTCCATGCTTCAGTTCTTTGTAGGTACATCGACAACGACAGTATCTCCTCTTAAACAGAAAGCTCAGACCTTCGTCAAGCCAAGTGACTCCACATAGGCGATAACAACTCCCCTGGTTTTGATAGGGGATTTGACATGTGGTGTTGGCTGTTGGTTCATTCTGAAAGCTTAGCCCATAATAATTTATTATGTTCTTAAGCCAGTTCAAGGTAAACAGAAAAGCTGTTAATTGGATATTTTAATTTCAATTTTCCCTACTTAACTGCTACTGATAGCACTCTGCTGCACTATGCGTAATGTAATAAAAACCTTAATGTCAGATGGGCCAAACACATAATAGTTGAAATGTGATTTACGAAAGATGTAATTGAGGATCCAGAATGAGAAAGATAATCAATATCGTTCTAGAGAATAATAAGTAGTGCTGGTTATTTTAAACATTCTAGACAATGAGGTGGACGTAAACCGGAAACCGCAAATCAAATTGATCGAAATCTAATCTTCTATTGCTGTAAAACGTACTGTGAACCATACTTTGGGTCACCAGATCAATTGAATAGCAGTTGACGGTTTGACGCGACCCGACCTTTTCCCATTTGAAAAACTCCGACTCCCTCGTCCAATAAATATGTTAAACAAGGGCAGACGTAATTCGATCAGTTCTGTTCTGCGGAAATTAAAAGTTTCCACTGCAAAATTTCAATACGTTTTTTTGAATTGTCGCCATTTGCATGAAAATTGGAAATTATTCGGAAAAATGGAAACTACTTCCCGATTCGTTCATTTTATTTTGATAGAATCCGATGTTGCTGTTCCCGACCTCTATATAATTATGAATGGATGCAGAGAAACAGGTGGGTGTTGTTGTTAAAGTGAACCAATAAACTAACAATAGTTTTTCCTCTCACCTTACAAATAATTACCCTTAATAAAGATAAACCTATAATAAACGAAATATCACTTTTCCTCCGGCAACCAATATAGATAGGACAAGGATTATTGAGAAATTATGGAAAAAACTGAATATTACGTTTTGGTATTAGACTAAGTTGTAACAATGCAGTATGCAGATTAATCAGCAGATAGCGAATATGATTAGGATTTTTTTATGGAACAGTGATCAACCATTTACTTTTCTCTTTAAAAGCTAGGTGCGTGATTGAGTCGATTCTCTTAAAAGTACCAAAGTTCAAATGAGAATTTGAGCTGCCCAATAATGGTCTCCAAATGATAAGCGAGCTGCAAGATTAGGAGATGCGAGGAACTTTTTGTTTGGGTTATTTTCAATTCAAGTTGATTTGCATGCAATATACCTTCAGAAAAACAATATGTCCTATAGTGGTGCTTACTGTTGTTGAGCTGACGTGTAATAGTTGTCACTCTTTCTTTTTCCGATATGATATTTTATATTTTATTAATAATGGTCCATTTGAAATTTAAAAATACACTTAAAAAAGGCAAATATATACTCCTGTTTATATATAGTGTGTCCCACTTAAGAACTATACACCTTTGTGAAATATTTGTTTATGGATCGATTGTTTCAAAACAGAGAGAAGTACTATTAGGGATTAAAAAAAAATTGACAACGACTTCTTGTTTTTCTTATTAGAAGTACTTAGGGTGTTTAAAATATAGTGTATGCCCCGCTTAAGGCTGTATATCGTTGTAAAATCTTTGATTACGGTTTGATATTGATAATTTTTTTACGCACTAAAACTAAAACTAAAACTAAACTGGGACTAATTTTTGATGTCAAATGTAGAGACGGGCTATTACGGATTTTTTTAAGAATAAAATGTCAACGAATTCTTATTGACCACTACATAAAACCTAACTATACTAATTTCCATGAAGTTCGCTTAAGCATAACAACTGTAGAATGTTTATTTATAGCTCAATTTTGATCATTCTTTTCGTATAGCATCGACTAAACTGATGGCTAACGGATACAGTTTTTTGAAGCGGAAAATAGAAAAATACTTTTGAAGATTTTTTTAAATTGAAAATGACAACAGATTTGTGTTCAGGACTATCTGAAAGTAACTAGATCTATGACCAAAGTTTTTAATGTTTTAATAAAAATAGTATTGTAAACCTTGTAAATAACGATTACTTTATGTGTGATTTTAGGGTCTTATAAATGTTAATTATACAATTTTGAAAAATAATGATAAAAGAGACTTTTTAAGGGACATTCAGTTTTTCAAGTATTCCAAGGATATAATGTATATAGTATATCATGCAACAAGTGCGGTTAACGGTATTTGACTTACGAGTTTATTTGACAGGAGTAGAAAAACATTTTTAAGTCACTCGTATCTTGAACACTCGCTCCGCTCCTGTCAAGTAAACTCGTGAGTCAAATGCCGTTTACCGCACTTGTTGCGTAATATACTACGTCCTTTTGTTTTTGGGTGCATTTTCGCAAGACAACACGAATACATTCACTGACATGATCGTCAGAATTGACAAACGTCAAGATTCAAGGCGTGGGAAATATCTCCGAAAACATCCTATTAATATAATAATAATAATAATATTTTGCAATGTTCAATTTTCAAAGCAATAAAATAGCAATAAACAATATCAATTGCAAAAAAGGAGATGAAAGCAATTAAAATTGTTCCAAATTCAACCTCTATAAAACAATATATAGCAACTATTTTAAAATTATTAGTTCGCATGAGATAACTATAGCAAAAAAAGAAAATGTAAACGTGTATATAAAAATTTAAAATTGGATAGAAAATTTTAGGACTGAACTTACACGAAAATCACTTGCAATTTGCTTGTTGGCTGAATATTTCTTGTCTTATCTTTTTTTTTTCTGAAGTAAAACGTTATAGGAGAAGCTTCTTTGAAAAAGAGACGTGTGGTGGTGGAGAGATAATGTCCGAAGTGTCTCGGATTCGTGCGAAACGAAACTGACGTGGTGAAGTGACGCTTCCCGCACGCTGGATAGAAGTGTAATTAGGTATTTTAGACGGGAGTAAAAAAAATAAAACCGTAATCAACGATTTTACAACGATGTATTGAAACATTATAAAAATTGCTGTAGTTCGTTTCTAAGTATTCCTGGCGCATTAAGCAAAACAAGATTTTAGTGCATTTTTCAGAGACCTATACAACAAAAAAACTTATCCAAATCCAACCTTAAACAAAGATTTTACAAGGGTGTACAGTTCTTAAGTGTCACTTTACTTACTGTTATTGTCGTACATAACCCTGAAGGTGTCTGAATGCCAGTGGCCGAAAAACTGGCCAACAATTATTGACGAATACTGCCGCACAATCTTTAAATATCTCGTGTTGTGGTGATTCGTATACATGAAATGGCTCTGTTGCGTGGGACCTTTGTGCCTTTCATCGCGGCCCGGGGGAATGTGACCCACTAAGTATACCTGAAATTCAAGAATTTGATAGATTAGAACGAGAACATTTTTCGTAAAAAAACGAATTTCTTTTATTAATTGAACCTTTTTCCGTCCGTCCAAAATACCTTTTACGTCGAAATAACATTTGTAATTTAATGCACATTTTTTGTTGGAATTAAGTTATTTTTTAGTTCTAAACTGGTCCAATTTTGTTTAATCAAACATTACGAATTAAGTGTCAAATATTATTTTTTGGCATTCTAAGGTAAAACACAATACTAAAATTTTTCAAAGCACCTTGCACAGGCTACCGTAATACTATTTACAAAACTTGGCTGCTTCAGAGCTCAACTGAAACTGAAATATGCGTCGAAGAAGAAGGAACATTTTTCTGAGCTCAATTCTTTTTAACAGTTGAAAGTAGAATAAGTAATTTAAAAAAAATAAACAGTTTGTTCAATGTCAGTGAAGAGGCCATACTCTCGACAGAACAACAAAGCAAAGCAAACCCAACAAAAGCACTCTTGGAAATTGATACAAACTTTCTAAAAAAAAAACATCACTTGCAACTCCATCCAAATGAACTTTCAATGATGCAGTGATGCAGGGCGAACCAATAGAATGTCAAGAAACATTGAAACATCTTGAAACGGTTTTGGATCAGGATATGCGGTTCACAAAACATTGTAATCAATATCCATTTGTCTCAACGACAGATGTGACGATAGTCCTCTCTTGGAACTCTTTTCGTGAGGTTATTTATGCAGATATAAGGCGAATTAAACTTATTTACTTATTTAGTTTTGGTTTAAGATTTGATACAACAGATACCCATATAACGCTACCTTAGATTTTATTATTTTAGCTATCCAGTACCCTTCATCGTTTTTATCGCAGGCCTCATTGCAGAATTTCAAATGTACTCAAAATTCAACGCTTTCCACTTATATATAATAAATAAATAAATGGATTCAATAAATTTTGTGTTTATTAAACAAACACTTTTTTTTTTAAGAAAAAAATATAAACCATCAAAATTGATTTTGCATATTAAATAGATCGATTATTTTGACGAGGAGTTTATTTTTATGTTGCAAGTTATTATTAATGTTATGTCGAAAGCAACGGTGCCAAATCGTATGTGAAAATCGAGGATTTCGGATACAGGATATCCTCGGTATTATAAATAAAATTTTAGTGTTAAAACTCGCGTTTGCTTAGTTTTATATGTCGTTCTTAAAAGGAAGACATACGCAAGACAACGGCGGTTATGGGTTTTTATTGCCGCGAAACATGCTCTAGAGCAAAGGCAATGCCAAGCCATAACAATAAAACAGACAGTAAAAGAGTACGTGAAAGACAAAGAAAGGATGCACTTACAAAACTACGGCCACATCCGAGAGAACCTTTCGCTGATGTTTTTACTGCATGTATTGCAAAGTCAATCTTTCTTATTGCTAGTAAAATCCTCTTGGGTGGAAAATTACGGTTGCCGGTATATGTTTATTGCGTCGTATTAAAGTTTTTTTCGTTTTTTTTTATCCCTAATAGGTTTATCGTCTATTTTCTTGTCTGGTTAGAGGAACAAATTACACATATTTTCATGTTACACGGACTTTGCGTTGATATCGAGATCCATCTGTGGCACTTCACTTTTGCCAATTTTCATGGAAGGCACTTGAAGAAAACTGGACGAGACACACGTGATTGAAAATTTTTATAAAGACGGTTTTAAAACTTCAAAATTGATGTGTTCGTTGTTTGGGAACTTCTACGACGAAGGTCAAAAAAAGTATTAGTAAGTAAAGTAAAGATTTTAATAATGGAAATTTGTTTAGACAAAGTTTTAAACACTTACTGAACATTTTACATAAGGGCGCAAATAAAAAATTCTGATGCGTAAGGTATAGTTTTCTAGAAAATTAAGCGATCTACCGTAATACAAAAATTGAAAAATAAACAATTCGATAAGTGGTGGTAATTTTTGCCCTTGCCTTACCAAAGACCTTTCCCCACTTTAATACATGCTTGTATGCACATTTCTCAACTGTAGAAGCTAGGTATTAAGTTTTTCTATAGAACATCACCATTCCCCATCATTTTTTTTATATAACATGTCAAAAGCGGATTCGCAATAAAAAATAAACAGTCAATGTTTTCCCTTTCTCTCTTTTAGAAATTGCCGTTGACGTTAAACATACGGACTTGCCAGATTGCAAAGCAAAAATATTCTAATGTAGTTTTGGTGTGCTGGGAAACATAAAAGGGTCGTCACTTAGGCCCTCTGACACCGGCACATTTCCGTTCATTTAATATCAAGCAGCCACCGGCAAAGGAGTCTGTGATCTGAATAAAATATCATCGTTCTCCCTTAGGAAAGCCAATATCAGTCTTTATCTGGAAAAAACATATAAAAAAATCGTCTTCCATATCGTTCGGTTCGATAAATTTAATTTCATCGGATTCAGGGCTGAGATCGTAAATTCAAATTCAAAAGTTTTTAGCAATCAATGCGCCAATAGTTTTTTTGAAGGGTCAGGGTTACTATCCAATAAAACTCAACATCGTTTTTTATGTCATAAATAATCTTTATCAAAAGTTGGACCCAAATTTTGCACAATTTTAAAAAGCTTCAAATCTTCATCAAGATATTTTAAAAAACTAAGCACACTTCTTTCAAATTAAATAACCAACAATTGAAAAGTGAGGTTATCAGTTCATAATTGACATTTGACATTTGTTCACTAACACTTTTCAATTGGTTAGTCCTTTATATTCTCCAGTTAGGTCTTGTAGAGGTTTTATAAGAGTAACGACAACGTTTTACGAACAATTGATAGTTACCATTATAAAAAAATGTTAGTTGAATTTAAACTTGTTGTCCTCCAGTTATCCAAAAATGCGTATAATTTTGATTGATGTTCTGGAAAGTAGTTACCCACAGACGACAGCCGATGAGCCGATGTTAATATTTTGTGAAAAAAAAAATTTTTTTCGTTTCAGGCAAATAAGGCGTTGCTGACATCAAAATTAATAGTTGCGTTTTAAAACCAGCTTCCTGAAATTGGTATGCAAAAAAGACACTATAGCGAGATTCCGGATGTACAATTTCGTTGGTTGCTAATAACAAATAACGAAATTTTCAACGTTTTATAAAAACAATGTAAATGGTCATAACAAAAAAATGGAGACACACATTTTTATTGCCGCGTGGGTGATACTCGTCGTTAATAACCCTGGCTGAAATTTTGATACAGGCAATTTACCCGGTGAGATGTTATCTATGCGCGGTGCATTTGTATAGCGGAAAAATATGCAGAAAATATTACCGTGGGTTACCTCCCCTAAATTTACAGTAGATTATTATCCGGGGTAATATATAGGGAGTGCAGGTTAAAAGAAAAACAATATAAAAATACATTTCTAAAAGTGCTTCTGCTATAGGTTGGTAAAAGCTGCAAAAACATGTTTGAATTAGGCGATTCTAAGCTGTAGTTTTTAGACTTCAAACATTTGGTTTATAACTTTTAACTTAACTTTTTACAAAAAAAAAGCTATACTTGAAGAAAGCTGCGAAGAACAAGAGCTGGGAGTAAAAAGTGTGCTAATATGCAATCTTACATATGCAAGCAATACTGCATTGATGCACAGTAATCGACTAAGCTGTTTAAGTGAAAAATTGGTATTAAATATCAATATAAATTTAACAAAATTTATGATATCCAACATAAGCAAACATCCTTGAATCATAATCGCAATCCAAGACATTGGATGTTGGCTCCAGTCAGATTGGAATTCTGATAAAAAAATGTGAAGCGCTATTGGAACAGTGAAGTAATGATATCATTACGCTATATATATATATATATATATATATATATATATATATATATATATATATATATATATATATATATATATATATATATATATATATATAAAATTATCAGTTGGAGAGTTCTCATTATCTCATATATCTTTTTCTTTGAATTATTTAAAACGTTTCGAAATAATTTTCAACCAGTTGACAAACCAATGGTTTTTCCTGACAGCATAATCAATAAAGCTAGATAATAAGCTTTGCGTTTAAGTGTAAAAAATGAATAAAGATCGATACCCATTTTTCCAAAACTTTGTTGTCATCGTTGTTTGGAATGTATTAACCGAAGATATATAACAAATGCGTCATTTCAAATGGGTACAAATCAGACTATACCGTTAATTCTGGAGGGCAAAATCGAGGGACGGGAATAAATTAATTGGAGAACTCATTCACATCAAAGACGGTTCAATATAATATGAATAGACAATCAGAGAAGAAGATGAAACTGTCACAATTATAGTGATGGGAATAGGAATTTTCGAATTTTTGAAAAAAATTGTAAAAGGTAACTTTCGCTTTATGGTGTAATATCCTCAATTTTCTAGTTTTTCCTTTCATTTTGAATCACTGTTAAAATGAATAAATACATATATTTCAACTATTCCATTTCATATGCTCTGATCTGATCTAACCAGGAAGACATTGAAAATATCACTTTCTTTTTGGTAATTTTGGTTTCTATGAATTAATGTCTGTCATCGAATGTATCCTTGGACGTATTTTAGAATATTGTGTATTTTTATCTGATCTTATTTCACCAGGTTTATTTTCTTTAATCCCGTCAATGTTCATAGCATTTTTTCGGCATACCTCGGAGAATTTAATATTCAAAAAAAAGTTTCGTTAATTAAATTTTAAGGAAATCAAATTGGTGATTCCCGAGCTCAAAAGAATTTAATTCCTCTTGATGTAACTCGAAATTTAATATCATACAATTATGAGGGAAAATATGTCGGGCATCGGTTTTCCCCGGGAAAAGGTATTTTTAATTTCCAATAAAAACTAAATTGAAAACCAACTGAAATCTTCAACGGAGGATGAAAACATCGGTACCAAGACAATTAATTTTCGCGATAAAAGTGCCTCGACGATTTGGCAGTGACACAACGCATGCCGTAAATTTAATAAAACATAAAAATCGAAA